AGCAGTGGTGATCAATAAACGGAAAACAGCAATGTGTATACAGAGATGGAAATTCAAAACATTTTAAGGCCTTTTTAAAGACTTTCCAGACATTTTAAGAGCTTATAGCCACTTTAGGTTTTAACATTTGCAAGATTTTGAATGACGGTATACAGTGCATCCGGAAAGTATTGATAGCGCTTCACTTTTTCCACATTTGTCTGTTACAGCCTTATTTCGAAATCCATTAAATTGATTGATTTACTCAACATTCTACACACAATCCCCCATAATGACAATGTAAAAAAAAAAAAAAAAAAGTTTTTGAAATTTTTTGCTAATTTATTACAAATAAAAAAGCTGTAAAATCAGATGTACATCCATATTCACAGCCTTTGGTGTTTAGCTCTAAACTGAGCTCGGGTACATTCCGTTTCCACTGATCATTCTTGAGATGTTTCAGCAGCTTCATTGGCGTTTACCTGTGCTCAATTCATTTGGACATGATTTGAAAAGGCATACACCTGTCTATATAAGCTCCCAGGGTTGACAGTGCATGTCAAAGCACAAACCAAGCATGAAGTCAAAGGAATTGTCTGTAGACCTCTGGGACAGGATTGTCTCGAGGCACAAGGCTGGGGAAGCTTACAGAAACATTTCTGCTGCTCTGAAAGTTCTAATGAGCACAGCGGCCTCCATCATCTATAAGTGGAAGATGTTTGGACCCACCAGGACTCTTTCTAGAGCTGGCCGGCCATCTAAACTGAGTGATCAGGGAGAAGGGTCTTAGTCAGGGAGATGATCAATAACCTGATGGTCACTTTGTCTGAGCTCCAGTGTTCTTCTGTTGAGAGGGGAGAACCTTACAGCAGGACAACCATCTGTGCAGCAATCCACCAATCAGGCCTGTATGGTAGAGTGGCCAGACGGAAGCATCTCCCCCTCTGGAATTAGCCAAAAGGCATCTGAAAGACTCTCAGATCATAAGAAACTAAACTCTCTGCTCTGATAAGACTCAAATCGAACTCTTGGAGTGAATGCCAGGCGTTACCTTTGGAGAAAACCAGACAGCGCTCATCACCAGGCTAATAGCATCCCTACAGTGAAGCATAGTGGTGGCACCATCATACTATGGGGATGTTTTTCAGCAGGAGGAACTGGAAGACTAGCCAGGATAGAGGGAAAGATGAACGCAGCAATGTACAGAGACATCCTGAATGAAAACCTGCTTCAGAGTGCTCTTGACCTCAGACTGGGGCGACAGTTCATCTTCCAGCCGGACAATGACCCAAACACATTGCCAAAATATCAATGGAGTGGCTTCAAAACAATTTAGTTAATGTCTTTGAGTGGCCCAGCCAGAGCCCAGATCTAAACCCTATTGAACATCTCTGGAGAGATCTGAAAATGGCTGTACATCATCACTTCACCACCAACCTGATAGAGCTTAGGAGGTACTGCAAAGAGGAATGGGCAAAAGTTTCCAAAGACAGGTGTGCCAAGCTTGTGGCATTATATTCAAAAAGACTTGAGGCTGTAATCGCTGCCAAAGGTGCATCAACAAAGCATTGAGCAAAGGCTGTGAATACTGATGTACATCTGATTTTTTTTTTAGGTTTTTTATTTTAAAAAAAAATTGCAACAATTTCAAAAACTCTTTTTTCACATTGTAAAACGTTGAGGTAATAAATTAATTTAATCTGTTTTAAAATAATAAAACAAAAAATTTTAGAAAAAGTGAAGCGATATCAATACGTTCCAGATGCACTGTACAGGGTGGGCCATTTATATGGATACACCTTAATAAAATGGGAATGGTTGGTGATATTAACGTCCTGTTTGTGGCACATTAGTATATGTGAGGGGGCAAACTTTCTAAGATGGGTGGTGACCATGGTGGCCATTTTGAAGTCGGCCACCTTGGGTCCAACATTTGTTTTTTCAATAGGAAGAGGGTCATTTGACACATCAATCTTATTGGGAATTTTACAAGAAAAACAATGGCGTGCTTGGTTTTAACGTAACTTTATTCTTTCATGAGTTATTTACAAGTTTCTGACCACTTATGAAATGTGTTCAATGTGCTGCTCATTGTGTTGGATTGTCAATGCAACCCTCTTCTCCCACTCTTCACACACTGATAGCAACACCGCAGGAGAAATGCCAGCACAGGCTTCCAGTATCCATAGTTTCAGATGCTGCACATTCACATATTATTAGGGTGTATCCATATAAATGGCCCACCCTGTATATACACATATACACACAGTAGTCAACATTTAGAGTTGATCAAAAATGTTTGTTTTTTTTATTTTAAATAATTTTCCAAAAGAAAAGAATTAGTGATATTCAGTAGTTTTAACTTTAATTAATGATGATGATGATGATGATGATGATGATCTACTTCAATTGCTGATTACTATATATTGACTAAACGTAAAGACATTTTTTTTTACCTTTTAAAAGTAACTTAAACTCAAAAATGTGCTCATTCAAATGTGATCATGTGTCTCAACGAAGCTCTGGACAATTTTCAAGTTTACAGCCATGCTCACCAGATATGATAGGATGCAATTCATTATCATACAATCTGCTAAACGCAATGCTTTCCTTCTCATTATATGTAGCATCATTTAAAAAATAATAATAATAATAAATAAAGCGTCTCACCAGTAGCTCCATGAGGCTCTTGCCGCAGCTGTCTGCCGGAGCACAGGCCTCTTCACTGTGGAAATGCTGATGGCTGAAGCTGGATAAAGACTCACAGGACACTTTAGAGCATGGGCTTTGTTTGCTTCTGCATGAATGTGTTGAAGGAGAAGAAGAAGACTCACTCACGGCAGATCCTGATCCTCTCCTGCTGCCATCTGATACACAGCCTTCCTCTGCTTTAGAGCCCTGCTGATAAAGACAACATTACAGCTTCAGCAGATTGAAGAGGTTGGAGTTATTATTCATACACCACATTTTAAGTTTGATTTTAAAAATGTATAATATACTGTATATCAGGGATCAGGGGCCTGTTTCAGTAAGGAGGTTCAAACAACTCTGAGTTTTTAATCTCTCGGTAAATCAACTCAGAGTTCAAGTTTAAACTCTGAGTTTTCGGTTTCAGAACAGCTGATCTGAGTTGGGTCAATCAACTTCGAGTAGACCAACTCAGAGTTAAGCGCGCACACCGTGACTTTAAAAAGGCATTATCAATGGAGCGCAGACATTACGAGTGACTATGGCAACATCTTAAAAAAAGAGATCACCATTTCTTTCTCCAGCTGAACTTGATGTTCTCATGCAAAGTTATAGCAAATATGAGCGTATATATTTGAAAAGAAGCAACCATCAGTGAAGAAGAGACAGTTAGCGTGGGAAAACAGCTGCTCAAGTTAATGCCTAATTTCACTTTTTAAGTATTTAAATATCTAAGTATAATAAAATAATTAATGTAATTTGTGACGTTTATATTTTTTTTTCTAAACTTTATTTTATACATTTATTAGTTTTAAATGATTTAACAGTGCACTTGTGTGCCTGCCTTTTTTATTGATCAAGTGATAGAGGTTAATATAACATTTAGAAGGTAAGCAGTACTAAAAATAATTTTTAGAAAGAATAATAATCCCATTAATCTAGTTACAGTGCATGTCGAAGGTGAATTGAATTTAATTATTTATTAAAAAAGCATAAGCCATTCTCTTACAGTTCTTCTATGTGTGACTAAAATGTAGGCAATAGCTATGTTTCCATCCAAATATATTACATAAATGTATGTGCAAAACTGCTGGTTTGTTCATTTACACACATTTTAAATATCATATGATCATGATCTTTTTTTAATGTACATACTGTAATTTGTTCAGTAAAAGTGTTTCCATCGTAGTCTATGCGCACATTTTCTATCCAATAAAAGTTTATCCTATTTATGCACGTTATGCACGTTTTTTATGCATATTTTAAAAAGTTATGTGCATCATGACGTTTCTATCAATCGTTTTTATGCACGTATCCAAAATGAAACGTAAGGCTAAGGCGAGAAATACCGCTTCGTCTTTAAAAAAGGGGAGGAGACCGACAGAAACTCTGAGTTTAGAGAATAAAACCTGGCTTGACTTACCCTGCTTTCTCGAGTTTAACAAACCTGCCATTTTGAAACGCAAAACCCAGAATTTCTCTCATTTCAGGGTTAAAATACTCTGAGTTTTCAGTTAACCTCCTTTCTGAAACAGGCCCCAGGGCTTGACATTAACACCCGCCAACCCATTAAATGTGTGAAGATTTCAGTTGTGGCAGGTTAGACAGCCGCACACACTAGTCACTTTGACTGGATGAAAAGCATTTTTAAATTGCCAGTGCTGGCTCGTCACTAAAGACTAGAATTTTAGTTTATGACCGATTGTCAATATGTATTTTTGTATCCAAAAAAAATGGGACAAAAAAACAAACAAACAACAACTCACGATCTCGTTTCTGCAAAGTGTGCCCTTGTTTTTTCTTTTCTTCTTTTTGTTTTTGCCCTTTGTGCTGTCTTCAGAGTTGGCCCAGCACTCCACACAGCTGTCCACAGCGTCCTCCTCCTTCTCCTCTGAGCAGCGGTGAATGCAGGAGAATTCACCTGGAGACAGACATTAGCATCATCATCATCAGCATCAATCAATCAATCAATCAAAGGAATCCTCGGTTTAAAACAGTAATAATTATATTGGCCCCTTTTCACAAGACTGTTATGATGCGTTTAACACTCATCAGCATCTTACTGCTTAAGCGAGGTGTTTGTAATAGAGATGCGCGGATGGGCTATTATTTCATCCGCAACCGCATCACAAAACTCATCATCCGTCCGCCATCCATCCGCACTAACATTGACCAATTTTTAAAACCGCACCCGCCCGCCATCTGCTGACTGAGCTCTTTATTTGAATGGCTTATTCCTTTTTATTATTAAATGAATGTTTCTTTATTGATTATTAGAAAATAGAGAATGACTTTAATGACATGCAGTTAATCCAAACGTGCAAGTCAAATCCAGCATTAATTGACGCTTTGAAGTGACGCTAAACAATACGAGGACGTGTCTTTTCACTTGATTCGATTCCTCGGTCCTTGAGTATTTTTTTTTTTTTTTTGCGTCCTTCCCTCGCATCCTATAGGGGTGGAAAGACGAGGAAAGAAAGCAAGGGAAGGAAACGAGGATACACAAATAAGAAATGAGAAGCACCCTATAAAGCTCTCAGAATATCAGCAGTAAACTCCGTCTCCAATCGGTGCACAGGGACAAAAATAAATAAATAAATAGCCTAAATGAAACGCACTGTACTGTACAATTTTTTTTTTATTATAGTAGCCTAATAGAAAACGCATTTTGACACATCATTTCAACATTCAGACGAGAGCGCCTGGCCTCTAATGCGCCCTGCTGCACTGAAGGAGCGCTCGCTCGCAGCACTTGTTGCTGGAATGCATAGAATTCTCTTGGCAAGGTGCTGTAGTCGTGGGAATGACTGCCTTGTTTCTCCCAAAAGGAAAGTAGATTTTCCTCTGCTGATCCGTCTATACGGAAGTTTGTAGAGGAATACTTCTATACTTCATCCAGAATTAGTGTATCCGATTCCTCCTCTCATTCTGTGAAGTCAGTCCTAGGCTTTTTCGTTGGTGCGCCAGCTATGTGTACAAAACAGTACAACCGCCCACCACCCGCCCGAATTTAATTAAAATATTATTTTTCGTCACGTCATCCGCCGATGATCCGCCGCGGCTGTAACCGCCATCCGCGCATCTCTAGTTTGTAATGCAGAGTGTATGAGGACAGGGCAGTAAGTCTGACTTTATTCTCTCTTTTATCTGCAGTTATCAGTCTCACACTATTATTTTCCTTCTTCTAAAAGTCTTGACAACAACATCAGAGTTTTTCTTTTATTATTTCAGCACATAGGATTGTGAAGAAATGATTTGTTGTCCTCTACTATTCACTGCCCTCAAACTTTACCCAACTATGACGACTTCCGCAGCTGAGAAACCTGTAAACGATCCATTGGCTGGCTTATCACTGCTGCTTGAAAGGACTGAATCAGTTCAACAGGGAACAAAAATCATGTTTACAAATTTCCAGACAGACGTGTGACGGCTGCATTACTCCATATTGATAAGTGGCACATCAAATACGTATTTGACCATCTCCAAGTCTTTTCCAAAAAACGATTAAACAATTAAGTTAGTTGTCAGTACATCACTGGTCTTTCGTTTCACAGAGGGTCTCACACACACACTCAAATATATAATGCTTAAAGTAAAGAGAATACCTGGAGTTACATGCTGCTGTTTAAGTGTTCACTTTATTTGTTATCATTTAGATTTATATATTTGTGTTATATTTATCTTACTTTTTTTCATCAAGTTATTCCCAATACTTTTCCATCCACAGAGTTGGCTCTTCGTTATTAAGTCAAATGTGTAAACGATATTGGTAAATTTAATCATATTTATAAAACTGGGCTGACACAGTTTCAATTTCAATTTACTAGAACTTCTATGTTAAGCTGCTTTGACAGCTACAATCTACATTGTATAAACGTTATAGAAATAAAGATCAATTGAATATTATTTACGGTTAGCGGTTTTGGCTTAAGCCTGATTTATACTCGACGCGTCCGCTAAATTGCTTTGGGTGCGCGCGGCGAATGTGACGTCATCGCGGATTTTTGATTTGGGTGCGCACAACATGGTTTCGGCTGGCGGTGCGTACAGCATTTTTTGAGACTCGAGATAAGTGTTTGATTTGAGTTGCATATGAAACTCTTTGAAGAGATTTTGTCTGAAACAGTATGACTGTACAGACATATTTATGATCCCTGATCTTAGAGACAACAAGATGATCAATTCTTGGCTAGAAATAGCAACAGCCGTGGGAAAGGAGAAAGTTTTTGTTAAAAGGTTTGGAAAAACCTGAAGGATGAGTTTTAAAAAAACAAGAGGTCATGGCAAAAGTGAGCCAGCTACACAATCACAGAATAAGTTTTTCCACCATGCATAGATTTATACACTGATGTATATATACACAATTGTGAATTTATAAACAATTTATTAGTTACAAAACTATAATTAATTAACAAATTATTTGTTTGATAACTGAAAGGAAATATTTGAACCTATCGGTTTACAATTTACTGATGGCCTGTTTCTCTAGGCTTTATTGGTGATAATGGTCAGGCATGTTGGACTATTATTGTATTTTTAGCATAAGAAGAGGACAAAAACTAACCAGACAGTAATGTGGGAATTGTGGAGCGAGTTAAATCTAAAAAAAAAAAAAAAAAAATCTGTATTTTTAAGAAAGTGTGCTCTTTTATTTTGCTTTTATTCTTCCCATAATAAAAAATATTTTTGTAGAGCAACTCATGTTCTGTTGTCATTAATATTTTAATAAACTTTAATAGGTAAAACCGTCCAAGATATGAACAAAAGCAAGTGATGCATCAAATTTAATGAAAAAATCTTGAATTGTTATAAAAATCCTTATAATTATTAAAATAATTTCTAAAAACAAAAATAATTAGCTTAAAAATACTGAATGATAGTAAAGATATGACGTAGTTCCGTAAACTTTCTACTTCTCTGTTTGTCTGTCTGAGTTTAAGGGTACCTTTTTTGACCGCCCCCTGTCGTTTTAAAAAAATATCACAATGCCAAACGCGGTGAGTATAAAAGTCTCATCCGTTACACGAGGTGCGCGCGCAGTCAGCGGAGGTGTACAAAGCAGCGCCAGGCGAAAGTATAAATCCAGCTTTAGGATGCTAGCGACACCATTTTATTTTTGTTGGTATTTTGGTTGTCTTGGACAAAAGCAGCTGTATGAATGCTAAAAAAATAAATAAAAGTGAAACCATCAACAAACAGCTTGACCGCTTTCATATTTACAAATAGAACCGCAGCCGTTTAGAGCTCATTTCTGGTTAATGATGTCAGAATTTGCCGCTATTTTGAAATGGATGTGTGAATGGTGCCTTTACGGAAAAATTACAGAATATCCCTGCCTGTGTGAACAGCATTTTAGGGCAAAGTTTTAAATAAAACACAGTATTTCATGGTTGTTGCAATGATCAAAATATCACAAATGTGCATATCATGAATTACATATTGCAATGGTTTGGAAGAAATGGACATTCTGGTTTTCTTGTCCAAAAATATATAACAGTTTTAATATGGATGCTTAAGTAACTCGGCAAACAAGCACAGTAGCAACTTGTGGAAAGCAGCAAAGTGGCAACAAAAGTGTTTTTGTTTTCCTGATTGTTCTTGACTTTTTCAGGTCTACATCAGTAGAGAAAAGCGGTGGTGATACAGTATTTATAAATAGATTAACCCTGTTAACCCTTAAAAACCTAGAGGTATTTTGTGGGCACCTAATGGGCCTATATTATTATTTTTTTTAAAGCAGTTTTATTTTTATTTTAGCAGTCAGCCTCAAGTGTCATATATTATCTTAAACAGGAGAACCTGAAGCTTCAATCTGTATCATTTAAAGGTCCAGTCAAAAATATTTTTTGGTCCAAAAACATATGAATAGACAGAAAATATTCCAGAATTTAAAAAAAAATAAAATAAAAAAAAACGTGTGGAATTCAATTAAAACAAAAAGTGGAATTTTCTGGTTATTACAAACAAAACCTCATCAAGTTTGTTTTTTCTTTCTTTAGAAATACACGCTATGATGTTTTATACTTCCAAATTAAATTGTGTCTACATCCACCTTTCCCTGTGCAAGTTATAGCAATTTATTTCAATGTTATTCTAAGGCGTTGTTCAGTGGAAAAAAAAAAACTAGTGCATTTATTTACCGACAATCCATTTGCCCAAAAGTTCTGGGAATGAACTAAACAGAAAAGATTGTTACAAAATAACAGAACACTGAAGCAAGTTTGACTTTTTCAAAGTAATACATTTTCAGTTACCATAAACAAAACCACTTACAATGAACAAATAAAAAATAAGAAAAAAATAATGCGTAACATGTTGCAAATCCTCAGTAAAAAAATAGATATAAATATTTACTATAGGCTACTATAAATAGTTACATAACTAAACTACATTCAATATGGACCATCCTTAGGTTTTATGTGCCAGCATATGGTGTTGACCCTGCTGCTTCTGAGCTTTTGCGTTCCAGACAAACAGCCGCACCGTCATTTGCGTCCTTTGAAAACAGCAAGACCAGCACTTCGTCTTTGCTGTGCCACTGTTTTGTCATGTATTTGTGCTGTTGTGCATGCATTGATTGAAGGCAGCTGAGACTCTCTTCTTTATGTCAATCTTTGAATTGTACGGATCGGATCAGCGGATCAAAAGTTATTAAACATTTAAGAGCAACACTTATTTATAGCCGCGGGTGGGCGGCTGTTTCATCTTTAAGGGTTAACTCGCAGAAGGCATGGTGATGATTTTCCAGACACAAAATGCATGTTGGTTGTTACATTTTATAAAATATCATATCACATATTGAAAATCACATTATTTAGCATGGTACAAGTAGTTATATACATTTTTGTCCTTTAATATTGTCATTGTTGTAAATTGTTGAGTGAAAATGGAAAGAAAACCATCAGAATCTGCTGAAATTACCAGTAAAGTAGTTCCTGGAAATTTTCAGAATATTTACCAGTATTACTGTGTGAAAGGGGTTAGTGTATAAGTAAAAAAAACAATGTGCATTTTAAAATATCTGTCAATCAGAAAATAAATAAATAAAAAATTGATTCTCATACCTGTCTCGTCATGGCTACACATGCCCTCAGTGCAGGCCACATCTGAGCCCTCTCTGGAGCCTGTCTCGCTGCCCTCCATACTGGAACAGTAGCCACAATCACTGCCATTACTATGAGGCAGCAGAGCTGGAGAGAAACAGACACAAACGCATTAATCAGATACTTTTACGCTTTATCTGCATCACTACATAGAAAACCAGGGCCCTTTGCATAAAAGTCCTTAAGCTAAGAAATCCCTCAGTTTGAAGGTTAAGGGTACCTTTATTTAAACTTGGGTTGCAAGAACAAAAACCTTTTATTTACATCACCTCGTACTTCAGTGTCTCATCAAATCACATCAAAATGCTCTCTAGTATGTAATATGCTGGCAGAGCTGTGATGAAACAAAAAGCTACGGGGGAGGAGTTACTTTATGCCCCGCCCTCTCTTCATGTTTGAGATTACGTCAAACATCGGTGCATAAAAAAATGCAAAGCACTTTACGGGACCTTTAATGAAATCCCTTACTCAGAGAGACCTTTTGGTTAAATTTCTGAAGCACTATTATGCAACCGGGAACAGACCATCAATTTACCTTTCTTAGTTTTGGGAGAATGCAGAATGGAGGCGGTGGGGCAGGTGCAGGCGGAGCTCTGGCTGGTGATGATGACCTCCACACTGCCAGCAGACTCTTCTCCACTGCCACATGACTTACAGCCGCTGTCCACAGACTCTGATGAACCCTGCCAAACACAATTCTTATTAGATTCACTGCACATGCATCTTACTTTGAAATACTGTCCTCTTGTAGATCTTTTAGCATTCAAATGCTAATAGATATGTAATGTTAATAGAATTCACTTTTGCTCCAGAGGCTATTCATTATTTTAGTTTTAATATAAAAAAATGTAATGTTTAAGTATGGAATTTATTATGAAGCATGCTGGACTGTGATTTTAGTTTATGCCACTTTATTAGGTACACCTGTTCAACTGTTGTTAATGCAAATTTCTAATCAGCCAATCACATGGCAGCAACTCATTTCGGCATGTAGACATGGTCAAGACGATCTGCTGCAGTTCAAAGCGAGCATCAGAATGGGGAAGAAAGGGGATTTAAGTGACTTTGAACGTGGCATGGTTGTTGGTGCCAGACGGGCTCGTGTGAGTATTTCAGAAACTGCTGATCTACTGGGATTTTCATGCACAACCATCTCTAGGGTTTACAGAGAATGGTCTGACAAAGAGGAAATATCCAGTGAGCGGCAGTTCTGTGGGCGCAAATGCCTTGTTGATGCCAGAGGTCAGAGGAGAATGGCCAGACTGGTTCCAGCTCATAGAAAGGCAACAGTAACTCAAATAAGCACTCGCTACAACCGAGGTCTGCAGAAGAGCATCTCTGAACACACAACACATCCAACCTTGAAGTGGATGGGCTACAGCAGCAAAAGACCATTAGTAATAGTGCCATTAGAGAAGACAGAAAACAGGAAAACAGGTGCATTAAAAGTCATTACCTCATCAAGACTTTTATCTTTCTCCTCTTCCACCTCTTGTTCAAAGCCACACTTGTTTTTACGTCTGTTCTTGCGTTTCTGCCTCTTTTTCTCCTGTTTGAGCTCCTTGGCTCGCTCCTCTTCTGAGAGTTCCTCACAGAGCTGCTCCAGTCGACTGATGCCCTGAACTTTCTCCACCGCCATCTGCATCACATTCAACACATGACCTTTACAGTCAGCATGATAATGTATGGCACTTTCCCAAAGCACAAACCCCGAATGAAACTCATTCACAGTCTCTTTATGTCTCTTTTTGATTAAAGCATCAAAACAATGAAAGCATTGAATTTTTTTTGTTTTACTTCCTCACATTTCTTAATTATTATTATTATCATTATTTTATATTTATGAGCCAAGAATTATGATTGTTAAAGATTTATAACCAATATTAACAGAAGACACTCATTAAAACATCAATGTAAAAATTGTTTTTCCAATACCAATGAGAAAACTAACCATTCACACTGAAAAGAAAACACTATGCAAAAATCTAAATTTGGCCTCACAATACTCACAAAAACATATAATTTTGCTCTTTTATTGATATGCTCTCCTATTTGCTCTCCTATTTCCTATAATGTACCTATTGCCGTTTTCTACTGTTTTTATGCTCATATCATGTGTTTATTTTCTCTCTGTAAAGCACGTTGTGCAGCCTTGTGGCAGGTAGAAACATGCTATACAAATAAATTGAACTTGAACACAATAAATATAATAAAACTGTAAATATTATAATTTTTTTTTTTATTTCCACTGTCCTTCAAACCACTATGTTTTACCCATTTGTCAATAAGTTTTCAATCAATTTTAGTATAAAATACAATATAGCAAAGTCTGTGGCTCAGTGGTTAGCACAATCGCCTCACAGCAAAAAGGTCACTGGTTCATGCTTGTTCATTCTTGGCATTTCTGCGTGGAGTTTGCATGTTCTCTCCGTGTTTGTGTAGGTTTCCTCCAGGTGCTCCAGTTTACCCCAGAGTCCAAACACATGCGCTATAGGGGAATTGAATAAACTAAATCGCCTGTATCGTACGAGTGTGTGTGTGTGTGTGTATGGGTGTTTCCCAGTACTAGGTTGTGGCTGGAAGGGCATCCACAGTGTAAAACATATGCTGGAATAGTTGGTGGTTCATTCCGCTGTGGCGACCCCTGATAAATAAGGGACTAAGCCGAAGGAAAATTAATGAATGAATTTAGCAAAGTCACATTGTTATATTATAAATAATTACAGCTCATAATAAACATGCCTAATGTTTACATAAATATTTATATTTTCTAAGTGACATTAATCCACCCATTTTATGATAATAAAATGCACTTTGTCAGTATTAGTTGTAGGCACTTCACTGGCATTAATGAGCTTTGTGTATGTAATATGTATAAAATCCCCCTGTAAATTTACTTCAAGACAGACTCAACAATATGTCTTTGACCCTTGTATACTGTTAAAATTTCTGATATACTTTCCAGCTTTACAATTTAAATATACAAAAGAAATCTTGTTTTCCACCATAAATAAAAGTACATCTCATTCATTTTTTCCATAGCTCATTTTAAAATGTAGATTGTGTCAAAGCAGCAACATAAACATATTTCACGTTTTAGAAAGCTTCAATTGTCTTTCCAAGTACTTTTTAACATAAGAGGCCATAATGTTTTTTTTTATTTAAAGGTCCAGTGAAAATTAAAATAAAGTTTTTTAGATGTTAATTTCAGTCTGTAAGTATGATAGGTATTTATTTAGCTTATGTCACGTCCACCTAAATCTATCAACAGTTTTGTTGACCTCACCTCATATATTAGTCTCTCACCAAATCTGACCAATCAAATGTTTTCTAGTATCTGACATGCCCCGCCCCCTTCTTATTTGATGAGCTTGAGCTCAACCACTCTCACTGGCAGAGCTGTGATCAAACGATGCTCTTGGCTGTATTTTAAAAGAGGCTGAGCTACTCCAAGTCCCACCCTCTCTTCGTGTTTGAATTGAGATTTCGACAAACGCAATAATGCACATTTCAAAGCACTTCTCGAGAGTTTAACGTCTGGATATAAGACTATATATATCATTCATGGAAATAACACTTAGGAATAACGCACAGGACAAATGTGAGACGAGAGCATTACCTCAAAGCTTTTGCGCAGTGCATCAATGCCCAGATAGAAGAGCATCTGCCATGTCTGCTCCTCTGCTCTCAGTTTCTGCCAGATCCTGTGCAGCCGCTCGTACAGGTGAATTCCCAAACAAGTCAACACTTCCTCCTGCGCGATATCGATGGTTTTTGCATGTTTCTCCCGACGCCTGAAAACAATCCAAAACACATTTAGTGAAAGTATACAGCTAAACCCTCAATTACTACTGAATTTAGTTTATTTAATGACTATAACTTGTGAACTTAGTATTATTTTTCAAATATTTCCCAAGTGATGTTTTACACAATGTTTAACACATTTTTAAACAGAATGAATTTCATAGCTAATTTCTAATAACTAATTACTTTCGTCTTTGATTAATAATAAAATAAGTTATGTCTGAGTAGTTTCAAGAAGCGTGGGAACCCTGGCATATTTTAAATATCGTTGCACGCATTAAATATAAAGTCAAATAAGCTCCTCATGCACTGAACCACTCACTCGTAACCCCCTGCAAACTCTGGCTCTGCTCGGCCCAGTAAGTGAGCGATGAAGTCCGTCTCGCAGCAGACGTGGATGTGGCGCTCGTGAGGGCAGCAGCGTAAACCTTCATACAAAGCCGCACAGTAGCCCTTCTCCTTACTGCTGTCCAGATCCCCCACAAGGATGTTATACGCTCTCAAAACCTTGTTCTTACAGTCAGTACAAAACCTGAGAATGACAAGAAAATGTTATATTATATAATGTTATGCATATTATATCTTTTTTTTTCCATATTTAGTAGAGCTGCACAATTAATCGTTAAAAGATCGCGATCTCGATTCAACCCCCAAGACGATCTTAATCCAGCATTTCTACAATTCTGCCAATCATATTTTCAAGTTCAGGAGAGAAGAAAAGGCGGCTGCACAAGTCTTTTCATTGTTTCACACACATTGCTCAGTGACATTGACACCTCCAAATGATGTTGAATGAGTCACATACTGTATTTATGAGCTATAATTCACCTACAAATGTCATTTTTGTCGTCATATAATGATGTTTTCGCGATCGGGAAATCACACGTGACGTGAGCTGCTGACCGTGAGCTGTTATCACAGAGAGGGCTCTTCTTAATGATAGACGCACGCGTCTACTTTAGTGAACAGAACCTGCATATGTTGCAAGTAACAGGTAATAAAATTGTAAATAATATTCAGTTTGTGACACAGAGTGATCGTTTGGGAGCCGCGCGCGAAGTATGAACAAGCACTTAGCAGTCAAAATAAAACCAAAAGTGTGCACTTCATTTAAATGATCATATCGCATTTTAGAGTTATGATTACGACAAGCATTTGATATGTGTTTTCTTTTATAGTGAACCCACAGTTGTGCATGAAAATAAATGTTTACAGTGTCAATATAACTACTCTAGCTTATATATTGTTGAATATAATCTGATAATGGCAAATGTCTGATTTTACCAGTGAATTAAATTGTCTAATATGACAGATTGCAAGCAAATATCTCAAACATAATAATTCAACATCAGAATTATTAGAAGTAGAATAGAATTATTTGTAGAAACCAGTAGACCTACACATAATATTATTATCGATGTTGTGCCATATGTTTGTTTTTACCATACCTTTATTTTACATATATAGAATCATGAGAAAATCGTGATCTTTATTTTAAGCAAAAAAAAAAGTCAGGATTCTCATTTTAGGCAGAATCGTGCAGCTCTAATATTTAGTTTTATTTGTTAATATAAGTGTATGTATAGATGTGATTTATACATTTATTTATTATTTTCTTTGGATGTAACCAAGCCCTTCATGTCAAATAATAACATATGGACTAAACAAATATGAGAATGTCTTCCCTCACTGGCATACATCCCTGACATATCTGGAAGGTTTTGTGACTCGAGATTACATGAGCGTTTTTGTTGTAGTTTTTTATTAAGATGTACCTCTTTTGTACATTTTCTATTTCTTTGGATGTAGCCAAGCCTCTAATGTAAAATGTTAACATATGAACTGAACAAATAGGGGAAACCTTGCTCCCTCACTGTCAACTGTGTGAACTTATATCCTTTTTGTCTTTCATTGTCGTGGTTGTGGTAGGGGAAGGGTAATGTCCTGCTTTAAATTGATAATGCAAAAACTCAAATAAATAAATATTCGAAGACAAAGCAAGAAATGAAAATCAGATAGAAAAATAAAATTTGAGATGTAACGTAATGTGCATTTATATAGCGCAATTGGCCAGTAGCAGCAGCAATGAAAGGGTGTTTAGTGCTGCTCAGTGAGTGCAGGACTGGGCTAAAGCTGTCTACTGTGGATTCAATAATGTTCCTCCACAAAAACATGTAGCCTTATCTTGGGGAGTAAAGGATTTTCAAATTATTGCTAAATATTAATAAAACCATAAAGTCATAATGTAGACAGAGTATACAGGCTATTTGTATGTTTCAGACAAGCGGCGCTTTCCCTCGGGAGGCCAATACGGAAGTAACTGAAACTGCAATTCATCTAAAATCCGCTAGTCCTGGCTCCATAATAGAGATTTCAATTGAGCCCACTGTTAGAATGGCCAACTTAACAGCAGAAAAAAATGTGTTTAGAGCCTGGTACAAAGAACGATTTTGGTTCATAAAGCTAATATTACCCTTCATGATAACTGTGAGGGGGTGAATTTTTTTTATAACTCATCCGTTTCCTTTATATTAGGTTTTATTAAGTTTGCATAATTAAGGGCATGGCCACTTGATTGACAGCTAGGTCTTGCTGTCGCCGTCACGTCACCTCAGCTGAATCCTGCAGATTAGCCACTGATTTCGGCATATTCATCATAGTTTCTGTTTTGATTTATGTGGCTTTACAGTCAGTTGCCTTTTGGGATTATTTTCTACAATTATCAGATGTTATGGGATGCTGTGTGCACTTAATTGTGCTCACAAACCATTCACGTGGCCTCCGTTTCCCATGTGAGTAAAGTTATATACTTATATACCATCTCTATACATGTATTTGTTTTATTTAAGATCATTTATCATTAGGGGGTCAAGCGCGAAGCGCTGAAACCCTATTGTATTTGTAAGGATTTTTAGGGGTTCGAGCGCGAAGCGCTGAAACCCTATTGTTTTTGTAAGAATTTTTATTATTATTATTATTATTATTATTATAATTATTATTATTATTATTATTTTACTTCTGCCATAATCACTATTGCCCAGGCCAAACCGTAAGGCCTATTGGCTTCAAACTTGGTCAGATGGTAGTACTCCTCACCGCTACTCAGATCCAAAGGCTCGTCAAAATCGGGCCATAGGTGGCGCTACAGCGCTAAAAACAAAAAAAATTTAGTAATTTGGCCGCCATTTCTAAACCGTTTGTCGTAGGCTCAAAAACTTTACATATTTGGAATCCTTGCGTCAGCACGAACAAAAGTGGAGTCACTCAGATTTTCTCTACGACGCACCGTTTTTCCGCTACATCGCGATTTGTCCGACACCTACTTTTGCGAACTAGTCCTAGGGTTTTCACCCAATCTGAGCCAAACCAGTGTAGAAATGTTCTCTGGACACTGAATAGCAAAAGTTATTGAAAGAAAGTTGAAATGTTGATTTCACGCGAAACCGTACACAAGAACGTAACATGCTAATGTAAGCTAAAAGCTAATTGTAGCTGTAACTTTTGAACGGATTGAGATATCTTCATCAAAGTTGGTACACACATGTATAAGGTCAATTTGAGGTCACAGTGCAAAACCCACAAACTTTGGCCTCAAGGTGGCGCTATAAAGCCTAAAAAACTTAAAAATGACTCTAACCTCACAACCATTAGTCCAATCAGCTTGAAATTTGGCATGCAGTGTCTTTGTCTAACGTGTCATGACATACTATAAGGACATTGGCATATCTCAAAAAAAATGGCCGCCATTAGCCAATTAAAATTAAACAGCCATTAAACTAGGTTAACGATGAGTGATCAAAACGAAACTCGGTGGGCATGTTTGACTCATGGTCCTAGAGGTCTGTAAGAATTTTAAAAGAAATCCGCCACTAGGGGGCGATTTTGTGTTTTTTGAGGTTGTAATTGATTGGTTATTACACAAAGTTTTGCACAGCCACACAAGATACATATCATATGATAGGGCTGCTCATACCGAACAGTCTGACACTAAAACCACTGATGTCACTCAATCTGTTCATTAAATATTAATTAATATATGAAAAACCTACTTTTGCGAACTAGTCCCTGGTTTTTCGCTCAATCACCACGAAACCAGTGTTGTATGAATCTCTGAACTGAGCAGATCAATAGTTATTGAAATGAGTTGAACTTTCCTCTTTTGGGAGCTATAAATGGCTCATTTACAAAAGGGGTGTGTCTTATATTGACCTAAATGCATGTAAATGCATAAGGAAAACTGAAAACTTCGTGAAATCAGGTATGCACATCTGAGATGTGATTCTTAACAAGCATGCAAAATTTTGTGAAGATAGGTCAATAGGTGGCGCTATAACAGTAGAAAAGGTCTCAAAAACACTGATTTCCATTGCTATTTGACCATAATTTGTATAATATGTGTTTATTGTAGACAGCTTTTCACAAATATACTTGATCTGAGATATTATATGACAGGCCTGCACATTCTGATCACTTTGGCATGAAATCCACTGCTGTAACTCAGACCATCCATTTATTATTCACCATTATTTCAAACAATACTTTTATGAACTCGTCCCTGCTTTTTTGCTCAAATTGAACAAAATCAGTGTTGTACAAATGTCTGCACTGTCTAAATCAGTAATTATGAAAAACAATTGAACTTTTGTGCATAAATGAGCTTGATATATTTATCTAAAGAGCAGAGTGTGTTCATATGCTTCCACAAAGGATATAAACATGCATTACTAATATAAACCACTAGATGACAGCTCAACACCTCATAATGTTGGTTTAAAGTCACTAAATTTCCATTAAAGATCATTCTGAATCACATCTTGACATGGCATAAACTCTGTTATTGCATTTAAAAGCTGATTTAGTCCCAGGTTACCACTTCATTCATGTAGGCTTTATATTTTTTTCCATTTATTACATTACATCATGGATTTCTTTTGGGTCAGCCTTAAATGTTGGGTTGTCCTACATCTAAATTGCCTAAATGGCTATTAGGTTGCCAAATGCTCGAACCCCGTTAATCGCCGCTTGCGGCTATATTTATTATTATTATTCTGCCGAAGTCACTATTGCCCAGGCCAAACCGTACGTCCGAGAGAGCTGAAACTTGGCCAGATGGTAGTACTCCGGTACACTACATTCTCACCGAAGATCAGCCAAATCAGCCCATAGGTGGCGCTATTGCGCCAAAACCCATTATTTTGGCCGCCATTTGTACACCGTTTGTCGTAGACTCAAAAAAATTACATATTTGGAATCCTTGGGTCAGCACCAACAAAAGTGGAGTGACCCAGATTTTCTCTACGGTGGACCGTTTTCCCGCTACATCGCGATTTGTCCGAAACCTACTTTTGCGAACTAGTCCTAGGTTTTTTGCCCAATCTGAACCAAACCAGCTCTGAAATGTTCTCTGGACACTGAATATCAATAATTATCAAAAAAAAGTTGACATTTTTATTCTCGCACGAAACAGTACACAACAATGTTCGATGCTAATTGAAGCTAATTGCTAATTGTAGCTATAACTTTTGAAAGGAATGAGATATCATCACCAAACTTGGTACACATATGTGTAAGCTTAATTTGATGTGACAGTGCAAAACCCGTGGACTTTGGCCACATGGTGGCGCTATAAAGTTTAAATAACATAAAAAGTACTCTAACATTACAGCCATTAGTCCAATCAGCTTGAAATTTGGCATGCAGTGTCTTTGACCAAGTTGTCATAACATACTATAAGGACATTGGCATATCTCAAAAAACATGGCCGCCATTGGCCAATTAAAATTGAGCAGCCATTTAACAGGGTTAACGATGAGTGATCGGAACGAAACTCGCTGGGCATGTTCAACTCATGGTCCTAGAGATCTGTAAGAATTTTGAAAGAAATCGGCCACTAGGGGGCGATATTACATATTTTTAGTGCGTAATGGGTTGTGTATTACACAACCTTTTGCGCAACCACACAAAATACATATCATATGATAGGCCTGCTCATACCGAACAGTTTGACACTCAAACCACAGCTGTCACTTACACCGTTCGTTAAATATTCCTCAATATAGGAAAAACCTACTTTTGCGAACTAGTCCCTGGTTTTTCACTCAATCGCGACGAAACCAGTGTTGTTGGAATCTCTGGACTGTGTAGATCAATAATTATCAAAAAAAAGTTGAACTTTTCACTTTGGCTAGCTGTAACAGGCTAATTTACAAAAGGGGCGTGTCCACACAAATCTACATGCCTGTAAACCAATAAGGAAAACTCACAACATCACAGAAATTGGTGAACACATGTGGCATATCAACGAGATAAAACTTGCAAAATTTAGTGACGATCAAACCATAGGTGGCGCTATAATAGCAAAAATAGTCTTTAAATATTGCTAAATCGCTTAAAAATAAAGTAAATTTGCTTCATTTACATACTATTTCACAAAAAACACTTAATCTACATATCATATGATAGGCCTGCTCATACCGAACAGTTTGACACTCAAACCACTGCTGTCACTTACACCGTTCGGTAAATATTCCTCAATATAGGAAAAACCTACTTTTGCGAACTAGTCCCTGGTTTTTCACTCAATCGCGACAAAACCAGTGTTGTTGGAATCTCTGGACTGTGTAGATAAATAATTATCAAAAAAAAGTTGAACTTTTCTCTTTGGCTAGCTGTAACAGGCTAATTTACAAAAGAGGCGTGTCCACATGAACCTACATGCCTGTAAACCAATAAGGAATACTCAAAACATCACAGAAATTGGTGAGCACATGTGACATATCAATGTGAAGAAACATGCAAAATTTAGTGACGATCAAACCATAGGTGGCGCTATAATAGCAAAAATAGTCTTTAAATATTGCTAAATCGCTTAAAAATAAAGTAAATTTGCTTCATTTACACACTATTTCACAAAAAACACTTAATCTACATATCATATGATAGGTCTGCTCATACTGAACAGTTTGACACTAAAACCACTGCTGTTACTCAAACCGTTCATTAAAAAACCATCAATATAAACAAAACCTACTTTTGCGAACTAGTCCCTGGTTTTTAACTCAATCGCAACGAAACCAGTGTTGTATGAATCTCTGGACTGAGTAGATCAATAATTATCAAAAAAAAGTTGAACTTTCCATTTTAGATAGCTGTAACAGGCTCATTAACAAAAGGGGCGTGTCTACACAAACCTACATGCCTGTAAACCAATAAGGAAAACCCAAAACATCACAGAAATTGGTGAGCAGATGTGGCATATCAATGTGAATAAACATGCAAAATCTTGTAGAGATTGGGCAATAGGTGGCGCTATAATAGTGGAAATGGTTCTAAAAACATGCTAAAATGGCTTAAAAATGAAGTAAATGTGCTTCATTTACACACTTATCACTGAAATGATTTAAAAGTTATTTTTTTTTGTCCATCTTGGATGTTTAAAGGTCTCAAACACATTTTCAATATTCTATCATTTTAGCCACTATAACACAGACTTTTAACTGTCACCTACAATTTCTAACCACTAGATGTCACAACAAGACCACTTATTTATTGTTCATAACATTTGCATACCTTTGTTGTTTTACATTTTTTGAGTTTAAAGTCAGGGAAATTGCATTTAGGATCATTCTGAATCATATTTTGACCTGATGTAAACACTGTTATGCATTAAACATCTAATTTGGTCCCAGTTAACCTCTTCATAATAATTCTAATAGGTAAAACTGGTTCTATGATTAAACACATTGTTTTAAAACATTTGTAAAGAAAATCACAACTGTGGCTTCTAGATGGCAGTAACAGACCACTTATTGTTTATTTTACTGCTCTGTAGCAAAGAATGTAATGTAATGTTATGTAATGCATTCTAAATCCCAAACTGACATGGCATGAACACAGTTAATGCATTTAAGATCAAATTTAGTCAAAGCTTGTCACACTTTTTACTCTGTAGATTTTTAATTATTTTAATAAAATACAAATTTTTCATTTTATATAGTTAGAACATGCTCAGTCATAGAAGGGATATGTTTATGCACACCTAAATGGCTGTAATCACATAAATAAATTACACTGTGGCCACTAGATGGCAGTAGGAGATCACTAATAGCTTATTCACTGCTCTTTTGTCATTTTTATTAAGAGCTAAAATAGCCATAACTCATGAAGGAATTAAAATATCTTCACCAAACTTGTTACACATATGCAAGAGGTCAGTCTAAGGTCATAGCATAAAACTCGTAGACAATGGCCACATGATGGCGCTATACATTGTAAAATCACTGTATCTGAGTAACCATTTATCTGATTAACTTAAAATTTGACATGTCGTGTCTTTGTCTAAGGTGCCATGACTCGATCTACACATTATATCATAGGGCTGCTTATACTGGTCACTTTGACATAAAAGCGGTCACTCGAAATGTTCATTAAAAATTTTTCAATATGTAAAAACTGAAGTTGCTTCTCTGGAGTGTTTAATCAAACATTTGTTAGCTCAATCTATAAACTCTAACCCTCTGATCGTATATTTCATTGTCGAATAAACTACTTACAGGCGTCATAACTGCTATAGGACCTTACCCTGCTAAACTGCTTGACCCCCGTTAATTGCTGCTTGCAGCTATATTTTATATTTAGAGCTGTAATGCACTGCAGAATCTGTCAGATTAATTAGATGTGGACTGTAGATCAGTCATCTGAAGCGTTGTCATACAGTGTTATGCTGGATTTCATCAATAGTCTTACATTAACTAACAGACTATATCTGAAGTGTTTGGAAGTAATTTGCGTTTTCCTCCTATAGGAAAACATCATAAGAACAATGTTTAGTGGCTCAATGTATTACAGCAGTGTTTTTACAAAGACTAAACACTATGTTGATGTAGTGTACAACCAAGCACATGTGGTCAGAACACAAACGAGTCGCAGGTGATAAAGTATTAAGCATTTCTCCCAAAGTAAAGTGTGTCTGAACCAGGTCCAAGCTAAATGACAGCACATCTCTGTAGCTCCGCCCACTCTCCGCCTCTTTGCCCTTGTTTGGTATCCTACCGTGAGCGCAATGACGCGCGAACAAAATGGCGACGGTTGGCCACGCCTACTTGTGGCTTCTTTTGCGCTCTTCAGAAACCTATGGGTGACGTCATGGATACTACGTCCATATATTTTACAGTCTATGGTTTCAGATGAGAAATCCACTAAGAGTACTGTCTACACTTCTGCAAACCTGAAATGTGTTAAATACGGTACGTTTTGTTGCACATTTCAGGTGACAAATCCACAAGAGGGCACTGTCTACACTTCTGCAAACCTGAAATGCATAGGAAAAATGTGAATGCCTGTCTGAGAAAAGTGTATAAAATGTGTAGTGAGGGGCTTTACGGCCTCAAACATAAAAAAATAAAACGGACTACTTTATGGATTTCGCCTATCGGGAGTTATTTTTGAAATGTAACTTCCGCGATTAACAAGGGATGATTGTACACCTTTGCATTCAACAGAAAAATAAAACCCAAACCGCATTGAAACAAGTATAAGGTAAATCAGGGATGTCCAAACTCTGTCCTGGAGGGCCAGTGTCCTGGAGAATGTAGCTCCAACCCTAATGAAACACACCTGAACCAGCTAATCAAGCTCTAACTAGATACTAGAAACTTCCAGGCAGGTGTGTTAAAGCAAGTTGGAGATAAACTTTCCAGGACACCGGCTCTCCAGGACCGAGTTTGGACACCCCTGGGGTAAATAAATGATTCTAATTTTAATGTCTGTGTGAACTGTCTCTTTAAAATCACTGCCTCCCCAATCTAATGCATATCACATCTCTGTTTGCATTGTATGACGGGTCAGCCTGTGATCAAGCAACAACCTAACAGCTTGCACAATATGCAGTCACATTTTACTTTGTGTGAAATCAGTGTCAGAATCAACCAATTTGCTTTATAAAGCTCATCTACTGGAATCAGCGATGACAAATCTACACCAGTACATCACTAACCAAATTCCCATTTTTGGTACTTGTAAAAGACAGTGTGGATCTCTTACCGGTGTTTACGCAGGTACGTCTCCAGAGTCTCCAACAGAGATGAGCTGTCAATCAAAACCACTTCATCACGACAGTCCTGTGACATCAGTTCCCACACATCCATCCAGCTGCCCCTGCACAACCACAGACACATATGCTCATTACATGGTCATTGTTCAAACTAGAGCTGCACAATTAATCGTTAAAAGATAGCTATCTCGATTCGACCCCCTAAACGATCTTAATCCAGCATTTCTACGATTCTGTAAATCATATTTTCAAGTTCAGGAGAGAAGAAAAGGCGGCTGCACGAGTCTTTTCATTGTTTCACATACGTTGCTCAGTGACATTGACACCTCCATATGATGTTGAATGAGTCACATACTGTATTTATAAGGTATAATTCACCTACAAATGTCATTTTTGTCATCATATAAAAATGTTTTCGCGATCGGGAAATCACATGTGACATGAGCTGCTGACCGTGAGCTGTTATCACAGAGAGGGCGCGCGCTCTACTCGAGTAACAGGTAATACAGTTGCAACTAATATTCAGTTTGTGGCACAGAGTGATCGTTTGGGAGTATGAAGCAAAGTATGAACGAGCACTTAGCAGTCAAAATGAAACCAAAAGTGTGCACTTTATTTAAATGATCGTATCGCATTTTAGAGTTATGATTACGGCAAGCATTTGATATGTTTTTCTTTTATAGTGAACCCACAGTTGTGCATGAAAATAAATGTTTACAGTGTCAGTATAAGTACTCTAGCTTATATATTGTTGAATATAATCTGATAATGGCAAATGTCTGATTTTACCAGTGAATTAAATTGTCTAATATGACAGATTGCAAGCAAATATCTCAAACATAATAATTCAACATCAGAATTATTAGAAGTAGAATAGAATTATTTGTAGAAACCAGTTCACATAATACACATAATATTATTATTAGGGATGCACCGAAATTAAATTCTTGGCCGAAGCCGAATAATAATGAATTGCTTGGCCGAAGGCCGAATACCGAACGCGGTGTTTTGCGTTTTTTTCCACTTAGTTTGCCAATTTTTTCAACATTACAATAATTAAATAGAAAAAATTAGCTTTTTACAATTTTGTGTTGCTTTTCAGAGAAATAAATCAAATAACAAAAAAACAATTTCAAAAATATTTAACACTGAACACTTTTTTAACATTCCAGCAGATAATATACAAACAAAGCACAATATAACTTAAAATAAATAAATTAGTAAAATAAAAAAATATTTTTATTTGGCCATCTTTGAAGCCCCCCTTCTTGAATAGCCGATGTTAGGCCTATAACTGACTGCTGAAAGAATGTAACTGTATGTCTACAACAACAAATGTGCATTGAATCGTGCAAAAAATGTGGATGACAACAAATGAATAACTATCCTAGACATAAGCCTAATTAGCCTACTTCTTCAGGAAAAGTGGCAGGTTCTTCTTTATAAAAAGTAGCTTTTCTGCTGTCTCGCATGAAAGCTGGTTCCTTTTCTCATCGATGACATGAGATGCAGCACTAAACAGTCTCTCGCTGTCGGCTATCGGTGCGCGGCTCATCTGTAGTACGAGCCCGTTTACTCTCTGCGCTGTTTTCATCTCCTGCACTGTGCATCACCTGACCGTCTCCAACACCTAGCGGCTTTCCCAAGTCTAACTCGGCCTGGATCATTTCTCGTGTGCGCTGCTTTTTCCCCATATCCAATCAATGATCTTTATATCGTGGATCAAGCACAGTCGCGATGAAGTACAGGAGTTCTGAGTCCGCCTGACTAAATCGTGCGCTGACTTTTAGAAAAGAGCGCACTTTTAGCTGTTTTCACTCTGTGGTCTGTTTCAGCCTAATTGTTTAAAAGACGCTTTAGTGCTGCAAAGTAAATGTATGACGTCTGCCACAGATGAGCTTATTTCTTTTGTTATCTGCTCAAAGGGGCGAGAAGAGAGAGAACGTTCCTCTGGACAATTCAGCAGAACAGTGTCTGCAAACGGCCGTTTTTGCCTCTTTCTCTGACACTTTAAAGTGCTTCCACACTGCTGACATGTTTGCTGCATAAAGCGCGCGCCTCTCAATCTACGCGGGTTACGCGGGTCATTAAAAACGTCATTATTCGGCAAAATTTATTCGGCCTTTTTACTTATTTGGCCAAACACCGAAAGTTTTTTTTTGGCCATTTCGGCCGAATAATTTCGGTTGCCGAATATTCGGTGTATCCCTAATTATTATCGATGTTGTGCCATATGTTTGTTTTTACCAAACCTTTATTTTACATATACAGAATCATGAGAAAATCGTGATCTTTATTTTAAGCAAAAAAATAAAAAAAATAAAAAAATAAAATAAAAATAAAAAAAATCGCGATTCTCATTTAATCCAGAATCGTGCAGCTCTAGTTCAAACATACTGTCAACAAAGTAACCAACATCTTGCGTGTTAAAAAAAATAAAAAAGTTCAGTACTCACCCTAAAGGCTTCGGTTTGTGTGTGTCTAACGAGTGCAGCTGACAGCGCTTGTTCTTTTTACTCTTGGGAATGGAATCAATTACGTTGTTCAACTTTGACCTATAAAAGGAGGGAAAAAAACATCCATAACAAAACACATTCAAAGATGACACAGATAAGGCTGGAATTTGATTGGACAATGAGGCTTCGACTATGAATAATAGCATTTTATTGCCCAGTGAGGACATGATGATGAATAATAGCTTAAAATAATTTCTTGAAGGAAAGGCACTGCAGGCAAAAAAAGTTTTCATGCACTTAAAAATTGTATGATTTTGAGCCTTTGACTTTTTTTTGGTATAATAGAAAAAAAATTATCCCTTTTACTATCCCTTTAAATAATTTGCATTGATAAAATACAAGTTTTTCTAAATAATGATTTTAGATTGACTTCATCTGGACCCTAAACAGAGTCTGTACCACTTACCCATGAACATAAAAGAGTGTGTAGAGCTTCCTGGGGTCTGTGATGCATGCGCGTGTGACTGAAAGCACTCCAGATGATCCCACAGTGAGCGGTTCCAGCGCAAAATAGCCAGAGTCTGTGAGCTGAGAGAAGAGCCGCTCCACGCTGCGCCGACAGCCCACACACGGCACCGACTGAGACAGAGCGTTGAACACTTCGCGTGACATCACCATCAACGCCATGTTCAGGTCCTGCTGCTTTAGCATGCTGTGATGCTGGAGAACAAAACACAGCGGGTACAGTCAAGATGGAAACTTTAAAAAAAATTAATTAATTAATTAAAAAAATTGAAAAATAAAAACTCTCTCTCAAATCTACTTTATTGCTATGCCCCATGATGCTTTGAGAGTAGCTGTGGTTAAACTGTACACAACAACTGCCAAGGCACTTTCTTATAGGTTCACTCCAAGAATCCTCCAGTGTTCAGAAAGTGTTCTTTATGTCCACTTTCCTTGGTAAACAAAGCAAGTCTCTCATATAACATATCAACTAAAAGACAGAAAATATTACTTTACAAACTGCATTGTAAATAAATCATATGAATATTTTCATATTATTCAATAATATTACTGTAAATATTTTCAAAACTGAATAAATATAGATTTACACATATTTACTCAAGTAAATAAACAGAATTAATGATAGGCTAAAAGTTTCTGGAAAATCTGTGGAAAATCTGCAGAATTCTGAGCATGCAGATCTGTGTGGGCCTACTCATAACATAGTAAAAATATTTAAAAACACACTATAATCTGCTGATTTACTCCATAGAGCTCCATATAAAAGCCTGAAACTATTTTGCACAGGTCAATCTAAAGCAGGGGTCACCAAGCTCGGTCCTGGAGGGCCGGTGTCCCTGCAGGATTTAGCTCCAACTTGCCTCAACACACCTGCCTGGATGTTTCAAGTATACCTAGTAAGACCTTAATTAGCTTGTTCAGGTGTTTGATAAGGGTTGGAACTAAAATCTGCAGAACACTGGCCCTCCTGGAACAAGCTTGGTGACCACTGATCTAAAGGGTTAATGCTGCCAACTGATGATCAACAGTTAAAACTACTAACACTCTGTTACATGTTTGTATGTTGCTTTAATCTTCTCTATGACTAACTGAAACACTTATGGATCCAAAAATATGCTGTATTCATCAGCTTTAAAAATATTTAAAAAAGGGAAGAATTACAAAAATGCAATGGTGAAAATTGTGGAAAAAGCTGTGTGAGATTTGATTAAAAACAGGTAGAGAAAACCACAACTGTGCAATGTCTTTTTCATATTCATTCATTTTCCTTCGGCTTTGTCCCTTATACATCAGGGTTCACCACAGTGGAATGAACCGTGAACTATTCAAGCATATATTTTACACCAGCTGCAACCCAGTGAAACACTCAATCACACACACTCATACACTACGGCCAATTTAGCCTACCCAATTCCAGCGACCTTCTTACTGTGAGGCAACAGTGCTAACCATTGAGCCCCCACGCCACCCCCTTTTCATATTTACATAGTGAATTAAAAATGATTAGGAGAAAAAGGCTATATGAGGAATAGACTAGTGAATTGGAAATAGATTTTCTGACATATTCCAGCATTATATAATGATAGCATTATCACATTAAAATACCAAGAATTATATGTTTTTATGACAGCATTACCCGATATTATCTGCAATAATGCAAAAATAAATAAATAAATAATCAGACTATTTTCTATTCTTAAATATAATTTTTTTTTCTTTTCGGTTTTAGGGTTAAATATGACCCAATTCTTGGCAGACTTTGTAAGATTCATTTTAAATGATAAAATGCCATAATTTACCTCAATAAACTGCTTCATCTGTGAACTGCTGATCTGGTAGCTGTCAAAGTCCAGAACACTGTCAGGAAACTCCATCACCATCTACAAAATAAAATCCACAAACTCTAGTGTACATCATCAAAATAAAGCACATTCAATATAAAACCGTGACTTCAGTTTGCCAAGTAAAAACAGGGGAACATACAAGAACTATGCTTTATTTGTACTGAATAAGGCAAACCTTTAACCCTGATTTTATGGTTCTATATACAGTGCTCAGTCAAATGAATACAGTTAGTAATGAATATTTTCAACCCTTTCTCAGTGAATATAGGGACTATAATCTGGTGCATTTCTGCTGTCTGTTTAGTTGTTAATATTAAAATAAAAATAGGCTGTTCCTTATATCAAGTTTACATTTTTTTGTTGAGAAAGTGAAACAACGTAGCCAGGGTGATGTGAATTAAGTTATAAAGTACACTGTTCCCTGTGAAGATTGACGCGTGTCCTCGGTATGTTTTCCATATCAAACTGAGAAGAAGAGATGCAGCCTTGATCAAACTTGCGAAGTCTGAACACGGAGAAGATGCAGGACTGAACTGTGTGTGTGGGCTACTTAATATTGAGGAAAAGCCCCAATCAGAGAGGCGAATGTCTGCAGCCCCGCCTCCGTTTTCAGATGTCTCCGTCTTTCCCCATCCACACTGAGACGGAGCAGCAGCGTTTCAGAATGAAAACGGCCTCTTCAGCGTTTTCGAAACGCTCCGTTTTCAGCGCTCGAGAACTCCGGCGTAGTGTGGACGGTTGGCGTAACCGTAGCAAAACTTATGCGTTTTCAAACTAAAACGCATTAGTGTAAACGGGGCCTTAGTCCAGATCCTTCTGGGTGCTATTCCGCATCTGATCGCTCATGCTATTCACTCCGTTTACCCGCTGTCTGTTAATAAGATCGACTGACCTTATTAACTGACTGTTCCCACTGAATTAAAAGAGACGAGCCGAATGCTCTCTTTGCTTAAGTTTTATTCTCTATGGCCCCGTTTACACTAATACATTTAAGTTTTAAAACGTATAAGTTTTGCTACGGTTACGCAATCCATCCTTATCCGCCAAAGTTTTCGAGCACCGAAAACGGAGCATTTTGGAAACTCTGAAGAGACTGTTTCATTTTTAAACGCTGCTGCTCCGTCTCAGTGTGGATGAGGGAAAACAAATACATCTGAAAACGAAGGCAGGGCTGCAGACATTCACCATTTTGATTGATGCTTTTTCTTCAATATTAGTAGTCTAAACACAGTTCAGTCTTGCATCCTCTTTAGACTTCGCAAGTTTGATATGGAAAACTAACTCCTGAGGACACGTCGGGTAAATCTTCAAAGGGAACAGTTTAGTCTGTAACAGGGCTCGAAATTAACCTTTTTGCTTGGTAGCACCGGTGCTCCTAACTTAAAAAATGTAGGCGCATCAGCCAAAATTTAGTCGCACCCACCATTTATGAGCACCGTTACTACAAGTTTGATACAAACAGATTTATTGTATTTGAAATCAACACTAATCAAACTAACAAGAAAAAAAATTAACATATATATGCAAGCGTAAGGAAAATATGTCTCAACGAAATCCCGTTATCACAAGAAAATAGATTTTTATAACATAAGTGTGTGACCAAAGCATACACGGAGCACTCACTGGCCCTGCACGCACTGCTTGACATAAATCTGTTAACGGTATAACTGTGCTGTTCTCACAAGTGCTGTCTGATATTGCACTGATGCTTTTGACATATACTGTACCTTATTATATGCATACGTCATGTTAATAGAAATACCGGTCTTTTCATGAGTAGCGATAATAGTTTACTCAGTGCAAGCCCGTTTGTGATGGTGTACGTGGTGTTAAATTTGACATATAGCTGCCCCTTGCACAGCGGACAGCATCTGGAGATTATATGAAGGATTAAACAGAAGCTCTAGTGCTAGATGTGGCAAACAGTTACCTGAAAACTTCATCTCACAGACTTTTCATAGCAGACTTGAAGCCAACGGAAGTCTTCTACTCTTGGAAAAGTGTAGATGGTGGTTTAACATTCAGCAATTGATCAATAGTAAGATGTGTCATTATTTATAACTTTGGATGCTATGGTTTCTCAAACTAAATCTGTCCGCGTTATCTTCATTCTCATATTCAGCGCTTTAGTTTTTCGCGCGCGGTAGTAGCTCTCCCTGTCATCCAAAGCCAGAAGGCGCTAACTGAGTGATTGACAGCTGATATTAACCAATCATTCGCGTTCAATGCTAGAGCAGTGGTGGGCCAATAAGAAGAGCGCGAAGGCAGGGCAAGCATTACGGACTTGGATTTGTTAACTGCAGCAAGACAACTGTTTTAAACCATTCCTGAGCGCTGCGTTTCACGTTCCAAGTGCAGACAAAGAGCTTAGAGATGCATTCTGCGTGAATGTCTCCCGAATCTGCGCATGTGGTGAACATTTTGCAGTAAAAACTGGTCGCACACAACAATTTTAAGCACTCGCAGAAATGCTCCCAAATATATTTTAAGGTCGCATAGATAAAATTTCGGGCGCATATGCGACCAAAATGGTCGCATTTTCGAGCCCTGTGTAACCTCATTTACATCACCCTGGCTGCACGGTTTCACTTATTCTATAATCAAATGAAAACATGATAAGAAAATGGCTATTTACATTTTGATATTAATTTAACAGACACCAAACATGTTGAGGCGTCATGCAGCTGCATATTTATACGAGCGTCATCTTCACTGTATGCATATTTATAAAAAAAAAAACAGCCTATAACATCACTGCCTCCTTTCATTCTCTTTGAAAATACATAACATACCCGCTCTTTTGCTGATTATCAGTTTTAATAGTCAACAATGGTCATTATAAAAGTATAACGTACAATATAGGAAATGAAGGCAAGTAATCAGTCAACTGGTGCATCATCAGTGTACGCGGTTACATTAATTAATATATTAACCTAACTTATCTTTGCGTTCAGCCAAAACACGTTACCCAAGAACAAGTATTAGATTCAAAAGACCAAAGTCTGGGAATTTGTGATTAGATTTAAACAACAAGATGAGTTAAATATCATGTTTAACAAATAAAGTGAGATTAGATCCAGCGGTAGATCCTTGATGAACAGTGTGACGCGCACACAGCTATCATATGGGCAGTGTATGCTAGAGTGTGTGTGTGTGGTCATTTTCAGCTGTGTAATGTAGACGCAGAGCTGTTCAGAAACACTGGGTGAAACATCAGTGTGGATGCGGATCGTTTTCATTCTAAATCGCCGTTTTAAAACTAAACTGTATAAGCGTAAACAGGGCCTACGATGATGCCAAGTGAAACGGAGCCCTCTGGAATCATAATACAATCACATAGAAATCATAAATAGAAATGTGTTGCTGCCTTGGTAATGCAATCCTAATGTAAACAGAAGTTATCAATACTTTAAAAGTGCTCAAATATTAGGATGTGTTGACAATTATCTGCATAATTGTTTAAGACATTTGAGTCGAGATGTAAAACAGAAAAAGGAGAAATTTAAGCTCATTTACTTAAACATTTTATTTGAACATACATTTTGCAAAATGCCCTACTTTTAAGCTGTTGCATTGTTAGGTGTTTGTTACCCTATAAATGTTCATTGTTCTGTAGGCATTTTTTTAAAGCATAAAACAATTCATACAGTACCGAAACCATGACCCTAAAACTGTGATACATAACTAACCGTGAGTAGATTGAACCGTTGCACTCAGGGTATATGCAGGAATCCTTAACAGGGCTCGAAATATCGCATATGCGCCCGAAAATTAATCTATGCGACCTCATGATATATTTGGGTGCATTAGTGCGACTGAAGATAATGGTTGTAGTGCGACCTGTTTTGATTTTTTGTAAAAACGTGCTGAATCGCTCTTTCCTGCCGCTATATTGGTTCATATTAGCTGTCATTCACTCAAGGTATTCCGCTGTCAGATGACAGGGAAGGAGCTTTTATGACCACGGGAAATGCAAACGGCTGAAGAGTAAAAACTTAAAGCACACAGGTTTGCAAACCCCACCTAAAGTTAAAGCGAATCATGACACGTCACGTGGTGAATAATGATTCGCCAGCTGAGATCAATCGAGTACGCGCTTCTTGGAGAAGGTGCCCGAATCTCCATGCGTTGCATTCACTGTGTGTTCAGCACAAATGTGCGCTAAAAGTCAAATCTAATACTGTACATATCATCGCCAAAGGAGCTCGCCTTTACTAAGTTTACACTGAAACTGCGGCTCATAACAAAGACCGGTATTGCGCCGATGGTTAGCGCAAGAATCCTGCTCTGCCTGCTCATAAATTGGGTCGGCTGACTCGCCAGCTTTTCCACTAACACAGAAAAATGAAGACCAGCTCAGACTGAACCTTTAAATTGACACAAACTAAAACCAAAACTTTTAAAGAGTGATAAACAGACTTTTTATAGCAGATAACCTACATTCATGCACATTCAAGGCAGCATCATAATGAGAAATGGAATTCATTGTTACTATTATTGTCATTTTTTATCATCATTAATATTCTATGGCCTAATTATTAGACATTAATTTTGGAATTATTGCACACAAATATCAATGTCTTTGCAGCATTAGTTAGATAGTTGTTTCTGGTTTTTGTCAGTCCTATTAATGTCGTTTTAAAATACAATAAATCCCTTAAATCCCTAAACAATTTGCAGCGGTGCTCATTCATTTTTGGTGGGTGCTCCTAAATTTTTTCTGGTGCTCCTAAAATTTTTTTGGTGCTCCTAAATATTTGAAGTTGGGAGCACCGGTGCTACCAAGTAAAAAAGTTAATTTCGAGCCCTGCTTAAGGAAAGTTCAAACCCTTTCAAGACTTTTTAAAGACCTTCTCAGAATGTTTTAAGACCTCATCGCCACTTTAAGTTTTAATCAGTATCAAACTTTTATCTTAATTAACAGTTGCAAATAAACAGTTGTAGTTAAATGGAGCACAACCGTGCGACAGAACTCAGATAAGCTCAGAAGAAACAAAGCTTAAAGAATAAATTGCATGGTTGTTTTCAGTGACAGGCTTCAGCCAATGTTTAAACTCCTTTTTCTCCATCCAGGAGTACGCAAACTTAAATTTTCCCCATCTGTTTCACTCTATGATTTCGCTACATGTGAAGAGCATCACATCACCTTCCTGCATTTATCTCAAATTACGTCACATCACCCAGACGGAGGAGCTTAGACAGACGCACCCCGGCCTGAACCAATCGAGTGGATTGAGCACGAAATTGATAATATTCGGAGGAAATTAAATATATTCATGCTTTTTTGGAGTTTAACACATTTGGACAACGCTCAAATAAAATGTAAGAACTCGTAAACATTGATTAAGACTTTTTAATACCTTTCAAGGGCCTTCATTTTCTCATAATTGACTTATCAATTTTTAAATGAACCCGCGGACACCCTGGCACCCCAAATGCTCATATATATGAAGCACTGTATATGCAAAAATATCTTGCACAACAAGAGCAAGAAAAAAAGCAAATATCTTCAATGACCCATGACTTAAAAACACCGCAAAACACAAGCAATTAAGTGATCTTACCGTGAGTGTATCATCGATATACAAGGGAATCTGCCGTGCAAGAAAAAGATAGTCCTCCTCCCCATCCCTACAGACAGCCACAAGACGTGCCATGCCTTCGGCCAGATCTGCCTGTTAGTGTGTGGAAAACAAATCTTAGTTAGCCGTTCATTCATAATATAACAAGACAATTCATTTTTATATCCAGATTAAAGCATGATGCGCCAACTCTATAATGCAAACAATGAATGCCTTCCCAGCAGCCCTTGTAGCTTTGCTAAGGATTATTAGCTTACACATATACTCTTATCTGCCTACAGAGGCTTAAACACTTATTATACCCATCTGTACACCCCAACCTGAATGCAGCTTTCATTTACGTGCATCATATGTTCACAAGTGTCATAATATTCACAGAAATCTTCCTTTATTAAGGGATACAAGTGTGAAGAGGTCAAGCCACATAACGTGCTAACAATGAGCAGCTAAACAACCAGCCTCTCGCAGCGATTTGAAAACATCAAATTAAACACTTCAGGTCATATTTATATAACGTAATCCGCACATTCTGGATGCCATGGAGACATTTATATAATCAGAGGAGTTAAAAGTACACTCATGTTCCCTCCAATGACACATATGCTAATTAGCCTATTAGCCGCAAAAATGCTCACACCCACCTGTAGAGCGAATTAAACGAGTCATTTTGGATGTACGCGAGGTTTTAAATGCTGCAGGGATGGAATCTGAGATGGTGTTACAAAAATGAGAGCATTTTGTGGGTCGAAGTCAAGTTAGCATGCGGCTAACCTGTGAAACTTTTTCAAGCTGATTAGCATGCTAGTGCTGTCAGTGACTTGCGCGGACAGCACGGCAACTTTAAAGCTAACAAAGCATGTTTTATCGCATGCTAAACACGACGCAGGTGGACTTTCACAATTAAAAGAGCTATTTGCATTCAAATGTATCCTGTCACAGATCTACTTTGACGGACTGGCATCCTCAGCATTAACTCGACACATTCCGGTGTTATCCTGCTCGCGGCGTTACTTTTTAGTCATTATTGTAGTTAGGAGCGCGAGAAAAATGCAGGAATATCAAGCTGCAGCTGTCGTACCCACCTGTTTTCCAACGTTGTTTCTTTTTCGGACAAAAACAAACAAGTGCGACAGAGGCGTATGTGGCAGGCGAATGTTCGATGACCCTTGGCTCCCTAATACGTCAGAAAGTAGTTCCGGGCGCTGAGGAGGCGCGGCATGAGCAGTTTGAGTCATAGATATATACACTAGATGTCGCCTGGCCTATTGTTGTCTATTGGACGGAATGCGTCAATAGCGCCGCCATCTTGCTACAGGGTAGCGCTCCTTTGAAATGAATGCGGGACCAAGGTACAGTTGAGGACTGTGGCCATGCAAAGCCAGAGATATACACATATACACATATATCTGTGATCGGGAGTTTTCCTGGATGTTAGTATGTAATTTTTTTTTTTCCAATTACGAAAATTATAATTTTACATCACTTTTCTACATTGATGGATCAGTGACCGCACGGGCATTCCTGACAAAAAGCTTGTGTTTGTGTGTACAGAAATCTACTATTCACCCTCACTGTTAAATTTAATCTAATCCGTGTCCTGAAACACAGCTCCTCTCCTGCTTTTACTTCTCATACTGACGGAGAGAGCGACTCGTTTGTGAATGAATCCCCCGAACGACTCTTTCACTAACGTTAGCCGACAATAATACAAGTTTCTGGCAGCGCAGCATCTCGTTGTCATATTTCTTTTGCATTGTTTGCTGATTTTATTCAACAAAACTAGCATAAACAGAGTATTTAGTGCGAGTTGGAGCTGCTTTGCCGTATGGTGAATGCAGTAAGTGACTGTTATCATCAATAACGTTACCTGATTAGCACAAAAGTTCAGAACATACAAAAACAGAAAAAAAACATAATATTACCTATGAAATGTTCTGCCTTTGTGCTTTATTTTCTTTGTTTGCTCGTTACTACACCGTTAGACAGCGCTAAAGTCCCGCATCTTCACGTAATAACACTGTCTTGACTAGTGCGGTTGAATGACATTTGTCCTGGGAGCACTGTACCAATGTGGCGGCGCTACTGACGCATGCTCAGGGTCCCTATGCGATAACTAGTGTATATATCTATGAGTTTGAGTGACACGTGGGAGGAGACAGATTAAAGAGAAGCCTACTTTACGATTAGAGACCAAAATTTCATCAATTGTAATGATCGAGACTACAGATAAAATTTAGCTATGTAGCTAATTTTGAGGAAGTTCTTTGATTGGCCATTGCTCCTGTCAAATAAAGAGTAAATATAACAGCTTTAAAAAGATAATAAATTTAAATAAATAAGAATTGCTAAACAATTTACAAACCATCAACGCAGTTTCATATATTTTTCTTTATATATATATATATATATATATATATATATATATATATATATATATATATATATATATATATATATAGGGTTCTCTATGCTAAGTATGTTCTTTACTGGCCAGATTGGACCAGTGGTTCGGATTTTTACTTGCCCTGCCAAAATTTTCACTGTCCTCACCAAAAAAGAAAAAGTTAATTGCTATTTCTTAGCCACATATATTAAATATAGTGTCACAAGATAATGTCTGTGAATCTAGAATTATAAAATAATTGAAAAATGTTAAAATATTTAGCAGTAAAATAAATTCATTCATTTTCTTGTCGGCTTAGTCCCTTTATTAATCCGGGGTCGCCACAGCAGAATGAACTGCCAACTTATCCAGCAAGTTTTTTTTTTACACAGCGGATGTCCTTCCAGCCGCAACCCATCTCTGGGAAACATCCACAAACACACACACATTCACACACACACTACGGACAATTTAGCCTACCCAATTCACCTGTACCGCATGTCTTTGGACTGTGGGGGAAACCGGAGCACCCAGAGGAAACCCACACGAAGGCAGGGAGAACATGCAAACTCCACACAGAAACGCCAACTGAGCCGAGGCTCGAACCAGCGACCCAGCGACCTTCTTGCGGTGAGGCGACAGCACTACCTACTGCGCCACTGCCTTGCCCTTAGTAAAATACAGCAGTATGAAAAATGTGCAGGTATTTTGTTGCAAAACAAAAGGTGGCTGACTTAAAAGTGACTGAAAACTATACACAACATACCTTCAGTTTTTTCGTTGTGTTGTTCATTCATTAATTTTCTTGTCGGCTTAGTGCCTTTATTAATCCGGGGTCGCCACAGTGGAATGAATCGGCAACCTATCCAGCAGTTTTTTTTTTTGTACACAGCGAATGGCCTTCCAGCCGCAACCCATCTCTGGGAAACATCCACACACACACACACACACACACTCATACACTACGGACAATTTAGCCTACTCAATTCACCTGTACCGCATGTCTTTGGACTGTGGGGGAAACCGGAGCACCTGGAGGAAACCCACGCGAAGGCAGGGAGAACATGCAAACTCCACACAGAAACGCCAACTGAGCCGAGGTTCGAACCAGCGAGGTTCTTGCTGTGAGGTGACAGCACTACCTACTGCGCCACTGCCTCGCCCGTTGTGTTGTTCCCATGTAAATATCTGTTTCCACAATGTTAGAAACAGACGTTTTCTTTTAGCCTCATAATTTGATGTTGTGGTCATCTTGCCAACTATTAAAATTTAGTGACAAGGCAGCACTGCCCTGATCGGGCCAGTAACGATTCTGTCTACTGTCCCGAGCATCTCTCATGCTTTTTTAAAATCTTGATCGATTAGCAGATTTGGCTTGAGTGCTGACTAATCTACCCAGGTAGCAATGAATTCTGGCCCAGATTTGGCATGAAGCATTCATCCGGCACCGGCATATCCTTCTGAGACCCAAATAATTTTTTATTATTTTTTTTCAGTGATTTCCTACATCCTTTGGGTTTAAAAAAATCTACAATTTAGAGTTTCTATATTTTGTTTTTATTTTTAATTTTACAGCATGCACACTGCACCCTTGGGACCACAGGAACCTTTTAGATTGAAACGACAAACAAAACTGTACAGGATATGGCTGCAAAAGGATATGAATCCAATATTAATGTAACAAAAACAAAACAAAAGCCATTTATTCCTTTTGTATTGAAACAGTTTAGTCTGAAAGAGAGCCGAACTAAAAACAAAAAAAAAAAAGTGATGTTAATACAAAACAAATTGAACATAAAAGTGATTTAAAACTGATTGTCATTCTCTAATTGTCTGATTGTCCAGCCTGATCTCACGAGAAAACGTAAGTATTTTACGTTTTGCCAGTTTAGTGGTTTAGTGGAGTTCAGTCGTACGAAATGGTACGATTTTAAAAAGGAGGTGTGGCACCTGACCCCACCCATAACCCCAAGCGTCATTGGGGGATAAGCAAATCGTACTAAATTGTACGAATTAGATCGTACGAATTCATACGAATTAGCCACTAAATGAAAAAGTTACGAATTGCCGTGAGATTGTGTTGGATTGTCAGACTAAATCAGAGTCTCCCTCAGCTATCTTATACTGAATCCTCTCCACTTCAGTTCTGCCTCTTACAACATGCAATCATTAACTACATTAAGATGGTCCTGGTGTCCACTATAGTGGACATTTAAAAAGGATGATATTTTGAAACAGCTTTGAAAGCTAAATGTATTGTTCCTGACACTGTAATAAACCAATAGATATGTAATAATAATAATAATAGTAAAATACATTTAAAAAGCTAAATTTTACATGCCTTCCTCCTTCCCATAAAATGTGCTTATTTGTATGTCGACCCTTTTGGATGCAGTGTAAGAAGTGGCTCCTAGCATACCAGCCAATCACATAACATAAGACTAGAAAGCCCAGGATGTCCTAGGGCTTGACAGAGCAGCTCAAAAAATTCAAAGAAAATTCATGAAAACACAATGTCCTACCCAATTCACCTGTACCGCATGTCTTTGGACTGCAGGGGAAACGGAGCACAAAGAGGAAACCCAATCGAACATGCAAACTCCACACAGAAACGCCAACTGAGCCGAGGCTCTAACCAGCGACCTTCTTGCTGTGAGGCGACAGCACTACCTACTGCGCCACTGCAAGTTGGCGGTTCATTCTGCTGTGGTGACCCCGGATTAATAAAGGGACTAAGCTGAGAAGGAAATGAATGAATGAATATTATTTTTAGATTGTAAAAATTATATAAATATAATTAATTGAAGAAACGTGTTTATAATTATTTTTAAATTATACCAGACAGTATTAGGACTTAATATTTTTTTAAATATTTGCTATTTTGAAATAATAAATATCTCTGTTCATACTCCTTCATAATCATAATGCATACAGCTTTCATAATCAACTCATTTAAATACTACATTAAACTTGTTTTAATAATAATAATAATAATAATAATTCCTTACATTTATATAGCGCTTTTCTGGGCACTCAAAGCGCTTTACATAATGGGGGGATCTCCTTATCCACCACCAGTGTGCAGCATCCACCTGGTCCTGGATGACGCGATGGCAGCCATTTTGCGCCAGACCGCACACCACACACCAGCTGATTGGTGGAGAGGAGACAGTGATGCAGCCAATTGAATATGGGGATGTTTAGGTGGCCATGATGGATGAAGGCCTGTGGGCAGATTTGGCCAGGATGCCGGGGTTAAACCCCTACTCTTTTCAAAGGACATCCTGGGATTTTTAACGACTACAGAGAGTCGGGACCTCGGTTTAACATCTCATCCGAAAGACGGCGCTCACTGAGCAGTATAGCGTCCCCGTCACTATACTGGGGCATTAGGACCCACACAGACCGCAGGTTGGGCGCCCCCTGCTGGCCTCACTAACACCACTTCCGGCAGCAACCTAGCTTTCCCATGTGGTCTCCCATCCAGGTACTGACCGGGCGCAGCCCTGCTTAGCTTCAGTGGGCGACCATGTGAGAGTTGCAGAGAGCTAGCTGCCAGCATTCACTGCTACTTAATTATTCACTGCTATGTAAACGGCACAAATAAGTGTCATATTTTTGATATACGATAAAAATAAGACGGCGAGGCAGTGGAGCAGTAGGTAGTGCTGTCGCCTCACAGCAAGAAGGTCGCTGGGTTGCTGGTTCGACTCAGTTGGCGTTTCTGTGTGGAGTTTGCATGTTCTCCCTGCCTTCGCGTGGGTTTCCTCCGGGTGCTCCGGTTTCCCCCACAGTCCAAAGACATGCGGTACAGGTGCATTGGGTAGGCTAAATTGTCCGTAGTGTATGAGTGCGCGTCTGGACGTGTGTGTGGATGTTTCCCAGAGATGGGTTGTGGCTGGAAGGGCATCCGCTGCGTAAAAACTTGCTGGATAAGTTGGCGGTTCATTCCAATGTGGCGACCCCGGATTAATAAAGGGACTAAGCCGACAAGAAAATGAATGAATGAATAAAAATAAGACCGCACACTTAGAAAGAACTCATTATATTTAATTTACACTATGCACACAATTTACACACAGCAAGCATAACGCAACCAGAGTCATTTAGTAAAAAATATAATCAAGCTATACATAAATGTCAGGGTGTCACCAGAACTTGACGGTTATTTTATTGACATGCAAAATGAATATGACCAAGCTGTTCATGAACATATACCAGAGCAAAACGCTCACGGCTAAAACATCCCTGCTGTTCATAGTGTCCACAAACACATTGGTCAAACCAGTCAAGACATTAGCGAGTAGAAAGTACAACAACTGATTCCTATTAACAGCCTGAATGAGGCATAACCCATCCATATCTCGTCGCGTTTTCTCATCCGCCTTTTTATTTTGATTCGGACACCAAGATGTAGGCACAAGTGAAAAATTAGACACCACTTTAGCAAACAGCAGCACTACATCAGCAATGCTAATGCAGGAGAGGAAGAACAGAGCCTGCGCGACAGTCCAGATACAGAAAGGAAGGTTGGCCATTCTGCGAGACACTGGCTCGATGTTTCTCTGACACACATATAAAACCAAAAACAACCCAAAGCTGGTTAACAAAAGGTTACGGATCACTCTGATCCAATCTTTAACCAGATTTCTGCTCTGCATGAGGTAACATCCAACATGAACACCAGCCATGTAGATGGCTATATAACCTACAACTGAAAATACCCCTTCTCTGTTTGCCAGGAGAAATCCTGAGCGTTCAGTGTTATGAATGAGAAATGACTTCAGATCTGTCGTCTCCAAAATAACTTGATACGTTCCACAGATGATAAGAGCAAGAAATCCTGAGCAGTTCACTGGAAATAGAGCCAGAAGCGCAGACGCTACGACTCTGACGATGGCTAAAGTGAAAAAGAAGTTCCAGTGGACCCCATATTCTGTAACATGTTCATGATATCCAGATGATTTGACGCTCGCTAGTCTTACAAACCCTAACAAAATCAAAGGCCACACAGAAACGGCTTGTTTTAACACATGGCTGATCTTCGATCCTTGAATGTTCTTTCCTCGTGCTTCAGGACACACCAATGCATTGGCCATTACATACGCTCCCACACCGAAATCCATCACGCCGGTTCCGTACGTCTCCGTTTTCGCATAACGTCTCGGAAAGACGCTGAAATCAACAGCTAAGATGCTTATTGCGGTTTTCACGTTGACCAGAACTCGAAATATGGTCACAAACGGGACCATTTTGGATTCTGCTCTGCTTTGGATGAACTTATCAATCGTGCTTTTGAGGGAACTTGGATTTTTTTTGCGCTTGTATACAAGATATAAGACGGCGAAATCAACTACGGCTATACCCATGATGACAAAGTGAAGGATGTCGCTCAGTGCGGTGCATGACAGGACCATAGGCATTATTATTGTGGTGAAGTCCAGCATCAGATGGGCTCCCCAGGAGAATGGCAGGACTCCTTTTCCCAGGTGAAAGACTATGAGGAAGAGTCCACGGCTGAGAAAACACACCGGAGCTAGGAAGGATCCCAGAGAGACCTCCGTCAGAGTCGTTCCATTGAGATTGCTGACAAATGCAATCTTTCCTTCTGACGATGCCATTATCTGCAAATGAAGGCAAATCTGAAAATCAATACCCTTTCAATAGTGGTTAAAGATGCAGATAGCAAGAGAGCACAGAGGCATACATACATGTATATATACATACAAACACACACACTCATGGCCACTATATTAGGTACACCTGTCCAACTGCTTGTTAACGCTATTTTTTAATCAGCCAATCACACGGCAGCAACTTAATGCATTTCGGCATGTAGACATGGCCAAGACGATCTGCTGCAGTTCAAAGCGAGCATCAGAATGGGGAAGAAAGGGGAGTTAAGAGACTTTGAATGTGGCTGTTAGTGCCAGGCCGTCTGGTCTGAGTATTTCAGAAACTGCTAATCTACTGGGATTTTCACGCACAACCATCTCTAGGGTTTACAGAGAATGGTCTGAAAAAGGCCAGACTGGTTCCAGCTGATAGAAATTAAAGTAGCTCAAATAAGCACTCAATACAACAGAGGTCTGCATCTCTGAACACACAACACGTCCAACCTTGAGGCGGATGGGCTACAGCAGCAGAAGACCACACCAGGTGCCGCTCCTGTCAGCACAGAACAGGAAACTGAGGCTACAATTCACACAGGCTCACCAAAACTGGCCAATAGAAGATTGGAGAAACGTTACCTGCTCTGATGAGTCTCCATTTCTGCTGCGCCATTTGGATGGGCGGGTCAAAATTTGGCATCAACAACATGAAAAAATGGATCAATCCTGCCTTATAGTGATGGTGAAATGAAGCTTTCTGAACCAGTGAAGCGCTCGACTCAATTGTATCGGAAAAAGGTTCGTTACTCGAAGCTTTCTAAATAAGAGCTCGATGTGGACCTCTTCTGGTGAAAGTGTGGGAAAGCACTGTGTTGCCATAATGTCAAATGTTCACAACTGACCCAACTCATTCATGTAGTAATACTACAACAGCAATATAAACAAATTACTCAATTACTGTAGTTTTTACACAAGATATATTACATTACACAACTGAGGACTGTAGTAAAATCCAAGATATTCAAAAGTTTATCATAACACAATTAGTACCGCTTCAAGCAGGGATCAAACCAGCGATTCCTGATTGGGAGGCGAGTGCTCTAGGAGGACGCTATGTGAACGATGCATTAGAGTTGCATTCACCAGATCGTCTCTGTTAAACGCAATACTACGATATGCGGTGGTTTTCTTTAAAGATAGTCATAAAAAAATACGCTAATACACTTTAGTATTGTTCAAAACCTTTTTACTAAAAAATACTATTGTAGTTTAGTTTAATTACTGGTGTGTGGGACTGGTGCAGTGCTTTGAAACAAATGTATGTAATAGACGCCAATTCTCTCGCTATACACTTTACAATGAGGTTGTTTAAACCTTTGAATCAAAATTCGAAGCAGTCACGTGGGTAAAGGCGAAAATGAAGCTTCGGACGTCACTGATCACGTGATGATGGCAAAACGAATCAAGCTCCGGTACACTGCTTCACTGCGAGATGTATCGTTTTTTTGATACATGCTTCGAAGCCTCGGCGCACAACGTCACATCACTACTGCCTTATATTAACAGTTCAGGCTGGTGGCGTAATGATGTGGGAAATTTTTTTTTGCCACACTTTGGGCCAATTAGTACCAATTGGTCAGCAGGATAACACACCATGTCATAAAGCGTGAATCATCTCAGACTGGTTTCTTGAACATGACAATGAGTTCACTGTACTCAAATGGCCTCCACAGTCACCAGAGCTCAATCCAATAGAGCACCTTTGGGATGTGGCGGAGCGGGAGATTGGCATCATGGATCTGCAGCCGACAAATCTGCAGCAACTGTGTGATGCTCTCATGTCAATATGGAGCAAAATCTTTGAGGAATATTTCCAGTAGTTTGTTGAATCTACGCCACGAAGGATTGAAGCATTTCTGAAGGCAGAAGCAGGTCAAACCCAATACTAGTAAGGTACCTAATAAAGTGGCCGGTGAGTGTATACATATACAAATAACTATTATTTAGTATAATAACAGATTATTTCCTATTCCTTATTTTACTGTTTTTATTCATCTGCCTAATTTAATTTTTATTCATATCAATTTAATTTGTGTTTATTTTTATTTCAATGTCATTGAAACCCCTCATAGTCATATGGGGCTTTTGGCTTAAGCTGATAATCACAGATTGACCAAACATTAGTCGACACTGCTGGTAATAAACGGTAGTTGCAAAACCTGTAATTATGCCACCTCATGGTTTTAATAATCAAGTTTATACAATTAAAAATGTGTCATCGGACTGCAGTAGAAGTTTTGATAAAAAAATAAAATTAAAACACAAAGACAGCAGTAAAATTGATATTAAGAGATGCGACCTACCTCAAAAAAGTAAGATGATAAACTAGATCAATCAGGTTTAGTTGGGCTACACTACAAAGACCAACATTGCACCAGTGGCCTGTCTGGATAAACCGGTTTAGCGTTAGCTTATTAAACACAGTAATAAATCCCATATATCACTACTGTTTTCGTATTTAATTAATACATTTTTAAAGCAAACACTAGTTCCTGATCATTCTTAATTTATGTCGAATTTCGTCGCACGTTGAAAGGATTGTGATGTTGCTTTTCCGTATTGGGCGTGGCTTACATGCGTACGTCATTGCGCCTAAAATACGTGACGCTACTGCGCGTGTCAGTGCCCGCCGGTGTGAGTGTGGCGCGGGCTCGCGCGCTGTTGGGAGTTTTGTCCTTCACTCAGGAATTTTTCTATGGCTGAAGAAAACGGAAAATTACTCGCAAATTATCAACCTAATGGCAGAGTTATAGCACGGTAAACACCTCGAAAAGGGCATTCTTTAAGCTCACAGCCATGGCGAATGTCAAACAGAAGCCTTTATTCAGGAGTAAAGAAGTTTCCACCGTTAACAGCTCTGACGGGACATTCAGTTTGGAGAAATCTGGAAAACCAAACCGACCGCAGGAAAAGGTACAAGCTTTGAATTCACTGCCCGTCTAATACAGTTTACACCATCGAAGTTTTATTAACCACGTTTGTTTGTAAATGTAAAACATGTTCATCTGAAAGCAAACCGCTACCAAAATAGATTGTAATACCGTGGTGTTGAATTGTTTTCATGTTTGTGTCATAAGATTGTCATAATATTTGTACATTGGCTGTCTTAGTAGAAACTTTCAGTTTTTACATTGTATATGGTCAAAAACGTTAATTAATTAATTAATTAATTAATTTATTTATTTATTTATTTATTTATTTATATGTTCTTGTATGAAAAGAAAAAAACTTTAACGAGGAAACTCAGAATTGGAATTACAAATATTATAGCAACTATTTCAATAATAAACATTTAATTTTCAAAAGAAGCTTGATTAATGTCATGTTATGAAGACGTGACTAATTTTCTACTGAGCTAAAACAAACAGCCTTTAATACTGTGTTATTGTTGTTATACTATTATACAGCTATTTTAATAACAATACGTTTAATCATTTAATTATTGTCCTGATAAACAGGTATACAGTAGGTGACTCATTTTCTACTGAGCTGAAACTAATTACCATTATTAATGTTATTAATTGTTATTTATTATTTTTTTATTGAATACTTGAACACCATTAACAACAAATGTCATCAATCAAATAACAACAATCCCGGGGGTTTTTATTCGTTTAGTCCAAGACGATTGTCAAGTCCTTAAAAAGTCTTAAATTCACTGAAATATTTTGTTGTTAACGGTTCTTAATATTCCTATGTCCATGTAAAGCTATACTCAGTTGGGTCAAAAGCCATCCAATATCTAACAATATATTTCAATAAAGGTTTTAAGAAACGTTTACTTATTAACTCTATTTACTTAAAAAATATGGATTAATTATCTTCCTCAATAATGTTTGTTTTTAATGCTTTTTTAAGGTTTTATCTGGACCATTAAAAAAATCTTTAGTGTTTAGCCTTGTGAAATTCTGAAATGTCATTCATTATGGTCTTTAAAAGGTCTTAAAAAGTCTTAAAACTTGACTTGATGAAACCTGTTGAAACCCTGCCAAAGAAACATTCCTATATGTAAATTCAAAATCTGCCTTCACACAGTCTTTTATAAAATCAATCAAACATCATACCAAAATGTAATTGAATGAGGGCAATTACAAAATAAATGAACAGAAGTTTCAATTCAATTCAATTCAGCTTTATTTGTATAGCGCTTTTACAATGTAGATTGTGTCAAAGCAGCTTCACATAAATGGTCATAGTAACTGGAACAGTGTGGTTCAGGTTTTAGTGTTTAAGTTCAGTTCAGTTCAGTTTAGCTCAGTTCAGTGTGATTTAAACATTACTGAGAGTTCAAACACTGAAGAGCAAATTCATCGATGCGTAGCTCTACCAATCCTGAACCATGCGAGGCAGTGGCGACAGCGGAGAGGGAAAAAAAACTTCACCTGATGGGAGTGAAGACAAAAAACCTTGAGAGAACCAGACTCAGTTGGGCACGACCATTTTAATTTCTTTTTTCTTTTTAAGTTTCAGGATTCACTTTGCAAAATATGAATTGTTATTATACTGGCTTGTTTTTCTGGTGTCACCTCATTTGAATGTTCATTGATGTGGCTTGTGTTGTCATTGGCGGATTAAGCAGCGGTGCAGTTAATCTGAACATGCTCGGATTATTGTGCAGGTCAGCCGAATCTGAGCATGCGCAAAACAGCCACCTCAAGACACTTCTGCCAGGCGCATATATATGGATGCAGCCTCTATGATGCAAGCTGAGATTGCGTCTCTCAGAGATGCAGTCAAACACAATGCACTCAATGGAGCTTGTGACATCTCTGTGAGGGGTGGGGTTAGGTGAGGTCATTAAATAGCATTGTATGCAGCTCAGATTGCAGTCCGCAGCCAGACCCCTCTCCGCCTTGGCATGGCAAATTTAATTGTATGACGTCATACCAAAATGAAGCTTCAGCATGTCCTGAAGTAAAAAATAAAACTTTGTATCTTTGTATAGTTTTTTTGTCTAATGAATCAAGTGTCACGCACAGGTGTTTTGTTAGATGTTCAATGCAGTGTTACACATGCCTGAAGCCCTTGGCACACATAAATTTGTCATCTATGTTTTTGGAGCTGTTATGATTTATGCCTTGATTCCAGTGTTTTTGCAGCATGAAAAGATCCTAACAATTAGGATAGGATCATGTTAAATTATTTGGGAATCAGTTATTGACTTGTTGTAGATGTTTCTGTCAGTGACACTGTGTGTCATCCATGTGTACTAACCAAGGTGTGTCTTACCATTGTTGGTTTTTAAGAAAATAAAAATTAAGTTCATGAAATTTACTAGTGGTGTAACGGATCACAAATCTCACGGTTTGGATTGGATCACATTATGGTTTTTAGTCATGGATTGGACCATTTTTCAGATCAGCCAAAAATGAGAGACAAAGAGAGTCAAATGAAAATTGCTTTCCATTTATTACAAAAAGAGCACTGCAAGACACTTTTAGTTTTAACAAACAGAACATGAAGCCTGTAATTTTATTAAAAATAAAATGAAGAAATGATCAGCTGAATAAAAATAAACTGTAAAATATTCAGTGCTGTGAAAAACTCTGTGTTATGCCTAGTTCAGACTGCGTGATTTTAGCCCCGATTTTGGCTCGCAGACAGGTTTTGAGAAATCGCCGACAAATGCCTGAAATCACAGGCAAATCGCTGCTCGTGCACGTGAGTGACAATCACACAGTATGAACTATCAAAGACGCGATCTGAGAGAATCGCCGATGAGTCGCCGATGCCTGCAGGATATTTAACGTGCTGAATATCTGGAGCTGTCGGCGATTCAAATCATGCAGTGTGAATTGAGTTTTGACTGAAAATAACATCAGCCATCACCTACAGCCAATGAGAGAGCAGCTTTCACTTGTGTGTGTGTGTGTGTGTGTGTGTGTGTGTGTGTACCTGCTGCAGGCCAGCGGGAGGCTGGGGGAGAAGTTAAAAGCGCTCATTTTCGGTTTATTTGGACCCACGAAATGGAGGAAAAACTAGTGGAGGTTTGACAGGACTGAGGAGCAACTGTGTCTGTTAACGTTTCATACAGAAAGAAATTAGTTTATTATCAACGTTTAGGAGAAATGGCTAATTCCCTTTAAACCCAGGTGAGCAAACATGTACATGTTCTACCCCATTAAAGGCTTCTTTCTCATTATGTAGTTAATAACAAAAGATATACGACGTGTTTTTAGCTGTGAGACGTAGTTTGGACGAAGTTGTCGGTAGGGTTGTAACGGTATGAATTTTTCACGGTATGATAATCGTCTAAAACAATACCACGGTTTGACGGTTTCGCGGTATACGGTATGTTACAAATGTTACAAAATAATAGAACAGTGAAGCAAATTTGACTTTTTCCAAATAATATATTTTTAGTTACTATAAACAACACCACTTACAATGAACAAATAAAAAATAAGAAAATAATAAATAATGTGTCAAAGTCCAAATAAAGTCCAAATAAACATGGTGCAAATCCTCAGTAAAAAAATAGATATAAATATTTACTATACTATAAATAGTTACATAACGAAACTAGATTCAATATGGAACATCTTTAGGTTTTATGTGCCAGCAAGGATATGGTTGTCTATCGATATGGATTTGGATATGGTTGTCTGCAATGCAGACAAACAGCTGCATCTTCATTTGCGTCTTTTGAAAACAGCAAGAGCAGCAGTTCGTCTTTGCTGTGTCACTGTTTTGTCATGTTTCTGTGCTGCTGTGCATGCAAAAGTACTTAGTATGAGAATTATTTCATGCAAAACTTTTTTTTGCGTTTTATTTAGCCGCGCATAAATGTATGCCTATCTCTCATTCCGTGTTGTTCAAAAAGCTTGGTCCACAAACAAAAGTGAAACCTATGCTTATTGGTTGTGATATAGCGAGTTTGAACCAATCTGGGCATGGAGGAGGGACAATGCATCAATGTATCATGTCTGATTTGTCCGGAGACACAGTGACGAGCGTTTCTTTGTCAAATCAGCGTTGTCAAATTTTGATGACGTAACCGCACTGATTCCAGAGCCTCTGAAAGCCTCTGAAAGGCGAATGTTATGTGATACAGCACTGGAAAGCTGAGATTCTCTTCTTTATGCCAATCTTTGAATTGTATGAATCGGATCAGCGGATCAAAAGTTATTAAACATTTAAGAGCAATACTTATTTTTAGCCGCGGGCGGCTGTCTCGGTCTTTAAGGGTTAAAACCGTTGATATGCAATTGTTCATGGTATGATAATCGTGCACGTTCAAATCGTGGTAAACCGTCATACCGGTATATTGTTACAACCCTAGTTGTCGGCGATTCTTCCTATAGTAAAGTCATGCAATGTGAAAGTCCCTGTCGCCGATATATCTTGCCGTGTAAACAAAGCAGCGACGAAACGCTAGGCCAGATAGTCATGCATTGTGAAAACATCTGTGACACGACTACTTTGAAAATCATGCAGTCTGAACTCGGCATTAGTTGTACTGTTGCTGATCACTCTAAATGTAGAAATCTAACATTATAATTTGTACAACTCATATTAATTTTTAGTCTCATTTTCAATAAATGATTCAGTGAATCACTAATAAAACTTGATGCTTAATGCTAGATGTGTCACTTTTGAAGAATTATTCTGTGGAATATTTTTGAAGGCTGGTTGTAGCCACCTATTGGTTAAATAATGTAATAGCTGCCTACAACTTTAATTTTTGAGCGTCAAGTTAAAAGTACTTCTGTGTTATTTGACTGTTTGTTACTTCATAACTAACTTAAAAGAATAAAAATTGAATCTCTTTCTTGACTTTTGCGTTTTTTAAACACATTTAAATACAGCAATTCGAAGGATTAATAAACATTTGCAAATCGTCATCATTTATAATTTATGTTGCGTGGGTGTTGAGATCCCGATCTTTTAATGATTAATCGTGCAACTTACAC